TTTCTATAAGACCACCGCTAATTCTTCTATGTTCTGGAGAATGTAGGCCTAGTTTACTCAACCTATCCTCATAGGTCAACCCCCTCATCCCAGGAACCAACCTAGTGAATCTACGCTGCACCCCCTCTAAGGTGAGTACATCCTTTCTTAAATAAGGAAACCAAAACTGCACACAATATTCTAGGTGTAGTCTCACCAAGGCCTTATACAACTGCAGCAAGACTTCCCTGCTCTTGAACTCTAACTCTTTTGCAACGAACACCAACATGGCATTAGCTTTCCTAGTTGCTTGCTGTACCTGCATACTAAGTTTTTGTGACTGGTGTACAAGGACACCCAAATCCCTCTGAACACTAACACTACCTAGTCTCTCCCCCTCTAGAAAATAATCTGCTTTTCTATTTTTACTACCTCGGTGAATAACTTCACACTTCCCCGCGTTATACTCCATCCGCCACCTTCTTGCCCACTCACCTAGCCTGTCTATTTCCCTTTGAATTCTTCTTGTGGGTCATCCTCACAGCTTACTCTCCCACCTAGCTTCGTATCATGCGCAAATTTAGATAAGTTCTATTTCCTCATCTAAATCATTGATATAGACTGTAAATAATTGAGGTCCAAGCACTGATCTTTGTGGCACTCCACTAGTCACATCCTGCCAATCTGAGAAGGACCCGTTTATCCCTACTCTCTGCTTTTTTCCTGTTAGCCACTCTCCAATCCATGCTAATATACTACCTTTAATTCCATGGGCTCTAATCTTATGCAACACCCTTTTATGTGGCACTTTGTCAAATGCCTTCCGGAAATCAAATACACCACATTTACTGGTTCCCCCCTATCTAACCTGCTAGTTACATCCTCAAAAAAAGATTTGTTAAACATAATTTCCCTTTTGTAAAGTCATGTTGACTCTGCCTAATCATGTTATGATTTTCTAAGTACCCCACGACGACGTCCCTAATTAAGGACCCTCGAATTTTCCCTACCACCGATGTCAGACTAACTGGTCTATAGTTCCCCATTTTTTGTCTCCCACCCTTCTTAAATAGTGGTGTTATGTAACAGCTTGATCCTGTATTGGGAAGCCAGTAAGGTGGGATTCTGGAAGAATGAGATCAAATGGGCTGAAGGACCTTCTTCATCCAAGCATCCCTTGTGAACAAACTGCTTCAGGAAGGTACATTTAGCTCCACTGTTGCACTTTTCTTTCTCGCTCTGATGGTGGGGTGTAATGTTTGTTAATCTAAAACACAGTTTAGGACCACTACTTCCTTTATTTAAACCTTACACTCTCTTCCACAATCTGCTCAGTCACTTTCCCAGAATCATTTTACGCTTGCTTGTTTCTCATTGTTAATGTCCAATTACCAAATAAGTCATTAAAGCAATATGCAACAATACGTGTTTCTGAGTTATTGGAAGAGGGAGAAGGTCTTTTTGACACTTAAGTGTTTACCAAGATTCAAACCACAATAATGAAAGAAACATAGGAAATCCCTAGAAATAGAAAGGGAAAGGGGCAAGAAGAGTATTATTCAGTCACTTGTATTGTTCAGTCACTGTGAGTTATGTTCAGTTGTCTAGCGAGCAAATCATTCAGGCATTTCATTTCGTCGGTGATTATTTCAAATGAACAATCTATTGATTTATTTCCTTCGCGCAGCAATTCATTTATTTTAAGGAAATTGTATATTTGTTTGGTCTGTAATGTTCCGTGTTTATATTAGGCACTTGATTATTTATTTGCTCCCAATGAATCAATTCTCCAGCAAAGGAAACTGATTACTTATTCATTTACCACCAATGAATTATTTATAAATAATTATTTATTCCCTTCGGTTTTGTACGTTTCTCGGAGCTTATTAATTATTTATTATATGACCTTTTCAAGGCTTGTCAGTCGATCAATTAAGCTGCCTTGAAGTCAGTGCCACTGGATTGAATCAGGCCATCTCGAGAATTCATTATCCTGATCTGTATCCTCATTAAGAATTCTTCAAAATGCAGGAATCCCCATTGAGACAGCAATTCTGTAATGTAAAAGCAGGGTTTCACTCACTCCTGTACATTGTGGGACTTACGAGACTCAACTACATCTATTCTGTGATATCTATCTCCATTATACATGGGCATTTGGGAGTGACTTGTACTTGCACAATGCTCAAAGCATCTCAGTATCTAGTTAACTGTTGTTTCTACAAGGAATACAGATTTGTGGTATACTCCTGTAATTGGGAACAGTATCGGGAGCAACTACTATTTACACTTGTTTAAGGCCTTTCACATGGAGAGAACAAGGACTGAGTGGGAACCTGAGCTAAGAAGGAGTTTGGGAGAGGTGGGAGGGTGATAACTGGTTAGAAGTGAAGTTAAGGAGGTAGGTCATTACGAGGGATTTGAAAGCAGAGAGGAAGGTGTGAGGAGAGAGATTTTGGGAGAGAGTTCCGGAGGGAGAGGGCAGAGTGGTGGAAGGCTCGTCTGATAATGGTGGAGCAGAGAGACCAGGGGTCATAGCTTGGATTTGTTTTGGTCAGCCGGAAGCCTGGCGTTTGCGGAAACTCATCACCATGCTTAATCCAAACAGAGCTAAAATCGATCATTCACTTCATGGCTGTTTGTGGGACATTGGTGCGCCCAAATTGGCACTTGTGTTTGTCTGCAAAATACAGAGTAACTACACTTTTCAATAACTCCTGTGAAGTGCTTTGAGGTGTTCTTCTGACGTGAAAGGTGCTGTATCAAAGGCAAAGATTATTATTATTTTATTATTAGTGGTATTATGATAGAGTTCAGTATAATTTTAATAATGACATATACAATTACAAAATGGGTTCTTTTTTATATCAAAGTATTTGTCACTCTCATCGAATAACACTTAGCAGGTCTGAAATTAGTTTTTTTTTAAAAATTGTAACTGGCCTCAGTAAGGTGATTTAAGGTCTAGAAAAGTATATTTCGCCCATAAAATATATTCAATTCACTTTACAGTATGTTCAGTGAAGTGCTTTGAGCATTCTCAACAACGTAATACGGGACTATATCAAATGCAAGGATTATTATTATTATTATTTTATTATTAGAAACGCATTGTATGGATTTTTACTTTATATCTTTAAAACGCGAGTTGGGAGAAGATACTACAGTAGGTTTACAGTTACATGTCAGCAATAATCTGGATCCAGGCAGGGCTTATTCTCAGTGACGTAACGGGAGAGAGAGAGAGAGGTTCCACCCAGGCTCGAGGCACGTGATAGATAGACAGCCCAGCTTGCTGTCAATCATATTTTTTTAAAAAAAACAAATATATTTATCAATATAAAAAATACGTTCCACTTGCCTCATGAAAAACACAGAAAAAAAAATCCTACTGTTTCAAACCCGTTACAATCCAATCTGTGACGAACTCCACCCTTTTGTGGAGGAGCCCTATTTCCTCGCATGAAGTAACCAGGGCTTCCTTGCCTCTGGGCTTATTTTCAGTCAGCCGGGCGACTTGACACATCAAGTTATTAGCTGGTTAGACTCCAGCAGTTACCCCAACGCTCACTCTGGGCTGCCCCAAGCTTTGGCTCTTGCCAACCTGCACCTAATACTCTCCAGGGAGAGAGCGCGCGTTCCATTCCCACAACCGATCTGTGGGATCACCGGGTGTAGGTGACACGTACGGAAATCTCAGCTTGGTTCGGATTACGCTCAAGCACCCGCGGCGACGATGGGCTTCCGCTCGTAGTCAGACCCCCGGCCCACCCCAAAACATCACGTCTCGTGGCTTCCCCGTTTCGGGGGTTCTGCTGTCTTTATCCGCGAGCGGCAGTGACACTCGAGGTTCTGGTCCCTCTCGCCGCCAATCCGTGCCATTTTCGCAGCTGTGGAACAGGAGGCTGTGGGTTCCCCACTGAGTGAGTGGGCAGACTCTGGGTGTGGGGGGGGGGGAATCCCACAGAATATGAGGAGATTCCCCCCCAGGCTCCAGGCACTTGATAGACAGACAGCTCAGCTGTGGGGAATCCCACTGAGCAGTGCAGAGAGAGGAGAGGAGACAGGGCTGGTGCTGTTTTTGTGAGCAAACTCAGGGGGTGGGGGGGGATTTCCGCAGCTGTTAAACACCTGTTTCCGTGTTTTATCTTACTTCCCCCTTTGCGAGAGGGGAGGGAGAGAGAGAGAGAAGGAAGAAAGAAAAGGGAAGAGAGAGGAGGCATAGAAGGGGAGGTCAGAGAGAGAGAGAGAGAGAAAGAAAAGGGAAGGAAGAGAGAGAGAGAAGTGGGGGGGAGAAAGAGAGAGAGAGAAGGGGAGGGAGAAAGAGGGGGTGGGAGGGAGAAGGGGAGGGAGAAAGAGGGGTGGGAGGGAGAAGGGGAGGGAGAAAGAGGGGGTGGGAGGGAGAAGGGGAGGGAGAAAGAGGGGGTGGGAGGGAGAAGGGGAGGGAGAAAGGGGGTGGGAGGGAGAAAGAAGGCGAGGAGAAAGAGGGGGGAGAGAAAGAGTGGGGGGAGAAAGAGTGGGGGGAGAAAGAGAGAGAAGGGGGGGGAGGAGAGGGAGAGTGGGGGGAGAGGGAGAGTGGGCTGTGTATAGACTGGGGATGTGTTACTATGACAGGGACTGGACACAAACTCGTTGGACTGGTGTAACAGTGACAAACAGCACTGCTGTTTAGTTGCTTTTATTTCTTAGGAAGTCAGGAGGGGAGTGTGTGTGTGAGAGGGAGTGTGAGGGGGAGTGTGTGTGTGAGAGGGGGAGTGTGTGGGGTTGTGTGAGGGGGAGTGTGTGAGGGGGAGTGTGTGGGGGGGAGTGTGTGTGGGTGTGTGTGTGAGGGGGAGTGTGTGTGGGGAAGTGTGTGGGTGTGTGAGGGGGAGTGTGTGGGGTTGTGTGAGGGGGAGTGTGTGTGTGTGTGAGGGGGAGTGTGTGTGTGAGGGGAGTGTGTGTGTGAGGGGGAGTGTGTGTGGGGGAGTGTGTGTGGGTGTGTGTGTGTGAGGGGGAGTGTGTGTGGGTGTGTGTGTGTGAGGGGGAGTGTGTGGGGTTGTGTGAGGGGGAGTGTGTGTGTGGAGGGAAGAGTACTGAGCCACAATGTTGCAATTGAAGCCTTTCTTTGATGTGAAGGCTGATGTTGTTCCTTGGCTTGTGGACAGCGGACTGACACTCCCCAGTGACCCTGGTAAATATTGTACAAGTGTGGCCCAAACCAACAACAACAACAACAACAATCTTTGGTGTGGGTTCAATCGGGCGAATTGCGAACAACTTGTGACTTCGAAGCGGTGTTTTTCTGTCAAAAGTGAAAGGCCGGCGGCTGTAACGGGAGGTTTGAATTCAAAGCAGTGCAGTCAGTAGCTTTGCTTTCGAATGTCGGTTCTGTTTTAGGATATTTCAGATGTTTTGAGATCTGATGCGACAGCTAATATTTGCTGCTCGATCCCAGTTGCACGTTTTTTAGCTGCGAGAAGTCGCACTGTGGTGACAAATAGCCTGCTCGTTCCCAGTGAAGCCTGGGGGGGGCGGGTGATGGGTTTGCTTGTATCATGGAAGTCTATTTGTTTGCTGCCTCTTCCTGCAGCTCAAACTAACTCGGTTAGTTTACTTGTCCAGTGCCTTTCACCCAGGGATATGTCTCAAAGTGCTTCAGAAAAGATAATAATATACTGTAAAGCGAATTGGCTTTTTATTTGTGGATGTGTCATTGGCCCATTTCCTGTGCTGTAACATACTGTGTAGCAGGAATCCTACAATTGATTGACTGAGGAATAGAGACCCGATGAAGCCTGGTGTGATGGGCTTGCTTGTACATTGGAAGTTGATTTGTAAACTATTTTGTTTTTAACTGAATTCTCCTTTAAATACGATTTCAGATGAATCTGCTGGCTCTCCAGAAGTACAGGTGCACATTGTCAATGTTGAAAAGAATGGAAGCATCCTGTACACTTGGAAGGTAATGATGATACCCTTATTATCACTTTGTTAGTTACAGGTTTGTTTTGCAATCCTACTCTAATCATAGCCAATAAACAGCAGCATTCACTAGGGCGCTGGCAGCATCTCCCTCTATGGATGCACTCTACATCTCACGGAGCCAATATGGAACCTCAGCGTCCTGTTCGACCCTAAACTGTCCATCATACCCCATATCATTACCTGCGCCATGACCCGCTCTGCCTTCCCTCTGGAACTCCATCCCGCAGTCCCTTCGCCTTGCCCCCTCCCTTGCCTCCTTCAAGATCCGTCTCAAGACCTTCCCCTTCGACTGTGCCTTCGGTCACCCTCCTACCCCCCCCCCCCACACCCCATCTTCCCCGACCCCCAGCTAAGGTCCGAAACACTGATTGTCCAGCGCCTTGGGTCGTTCTCCCGACGTGAAAGGCGCTATACAAATGTAATTTTGTTTCTTTCTTTCTGTGTGCTGTTTAAACTATAATAATTTGGTCACTCAATCTACGACTGTTTGTGGGACACTGCTGTAGGCTGTATGATAAGGCGCTATATCAAATGCAAGGATTATTATTATGAGGACTACTGTTCAGTTTATGGAAGGTGCTACTAATGCTAGTGAGTTAATGCACACTGCAGCCAGTCTGTCGAGAAGAAGCATTGATGTTGACATAAGTGGCTGGGATGCATACCTTTTGTTTTTGTTTAATTTCAGAAACAAAGGCTTGTATGTTGGTGTGATTGTTGTATCTTGTTCACTTCATTGATCACGTATCAACCAAACAGATGATCGATCCGTTGCAGCGCTGGGGGTGTAATTCACTAACGGAGGTGGCATTCTTCAGTTGCAATGTTATACTGAGGTCCTATCTGCCTGTTCAGGTGGACGTTTAACGATCCTGTGGTACTAATTGAAAAGATAAGGGAGTTTCTCTCGGTGTCCAGGCCAACAATCCCTCAAATAAAATTAGTCATTGACTTCATGGCTGTTTGTGAGACGTTGCTGTGTGCAAATTGATTGCTGTATATGCCTACAAAATATAAAATGCAATATTATTATTATTTGTTTTTATATTAAAGGGTAAAAAGGGAACCACATGCATTGGCTTCTATGATCCGCACAAGAAGCAAAACAAGGTGAGCTCACTTTGCAAATCTAGTGCAAATAGAGAAAGCTTTGCTGTCAGTATTTTGTCTCTTTTTAAAAATATATACTTTTAATTTCCAGCTGCTATATACCTTTGACCGAGAGGTGCATTTGGTCAGCTGTTCTGTCAACCTGGACCGAACATTACTGGGTGTGTTTGGCCTGATTGTTGCTTATAACTCGATCTACTTTGTAGTCAATTTGTACATTTTTATGTTATTATATGTCTTCGAAAAGATACATTTTAAAATTTAGTTTAATTTCAAACACTTAAATTCAATCTAGACTCAAATGTTCTCAATAATTGTTCTTGTTTCCGTTAGCTGCAAGTGTCCTGCCATACAATGTAAAAGGTTTACCGAATGAATTCCTCAGACCAGGTATTGGTTTTGAAAGTATCATTGTTCTGTGTTTTTTTTCGGGTCAGCCGGGTGTCTGACACATGCAGAAACCCATCACCGTGCTTAAGAGTATCCAAACCAGGCTGAGATTTCCACGCATCCCACCTACACAGGGAAATCCGCGATAGATTGTTGGAATGAAATGCGGACTCTAGTGATTGCGGCATCTTACGGTGCAGCACCAGAGACCAGAGGTTCGCAGGTTCAAGCAGTACCTGGGGAAGTCAGTGGTAAGATAATGATGGATGCCATAGTGCAACCCTTCAATAGACCAGAGGCCTCTGCGATGCATCTGAGCATACGCACACCTGCGCCGAGCACCCGCAAGAGTCACAGCGCCTCCATGTGGCCTGGGAGCACCTATACCTAACTAGCCACTCCAGATAATCAGTCACTGAGCCCTTTTCCCTCGGATTGATGAGTTATCAGGAGTTCAAGGAATATCCTTATGCCAAATAAGTTAATTTGTAAATGGTACATATACCCTGTCATATCGCATTAATTGTATTAAACAGTGCTAAATATTTTGTTTGTGTGAATCTCTGTTGCAGTCTCCAGGTGTTTGACCTTGCTGATTGAGATTCACCCAATAAATAACACAAGGGTCTTAAAGGCTGTGGACACTCATGTCAGAGTTCAGGTATTTATTACCAATTGCTTCCATTTTTATATATAAAAGCCAGGGATCATTCTAAATCATTGGTGGGCTTTAAAGGCATGGTCACTTAAATGTGACTTGCACAGCAGTGTGCTGTGGTAGGAGATGGGTTTGTACCTGCAACTTCCGCAAGGCAAACTTTCAGCTTCTTGGACAAACACAAGATGCTTCTTGCAGTGGGAGGAGAAACTAATTGGTAGAGGCATTTTCCAAGAGGCATGTGTAGTAATGGAAGTAAATTGCACTTTGTGAAGCATTGTCAAGACGGTGTATAATGGACCATAGAAAGAAAATAAACCTGTTCAGAATTCAGCCCATGTTGGCGGTATTGCTCAGTAAATATCATTGTGGTGTAGTCAGTGTGCACTTTTGAAGTTGAGGCGTATTAAGGCAGAGCGAAAGGAGCTTTACTCTTCGTTTAGCATGTGCTGTAGCTGCTGTAAAGTTGTGCAGTGTTGATACCAGGTGATTGACTCCCCGACATTCACCGTCACCTTTTTCAGCTCCAACTTTCACTACAAAAGTTTTTATTAATGATTTTTTTTATCATCGCGTGTGTTACATTTTAATTGAAGCAATTTCCTTCGCTTTTTCTGATTCCACACATTATGCATAGGAGATTGGGATGAAGTGGGAAGCTTCAACCATTCCTGCAATTGGATTAGGATTTTTTTGACTTATTGGAATGTGGAATGCCCTTTCAAGTGAAGTGGTGGAGGCAGTGTCAGTCCATTGTGCGATTCAAGAGGGAAGTAGACAGGTTTATGAAAGATAGAGAATTGAAGGGGTTTGGGGGTAAGGCAGGGCAGTGGGATTGAATAATAATAATCCTTGCATTTGATATAGTGCCTTATCACATCGTTGAGACATCTCAAAGTGCTTCAGAATGTACTGTAAAGAGAATTGACTGTATATTTTGAGTAGCGACCCTGCGTTTGTTGTTGCCCTTGCCTAATCTAGGGCAGCATTCCTTCTTGACCTGGGTAAGGTCAGCACAGGCCTTCCAGGCCTATTTGTATTTGATACTCACTAAGGTGTTAGTATTTGGCAATGTTTATTCACACAGGAGCTGTGTGCATGTGTTGTTTTTTCTTTTGGTAGAACGACAAATCTCACAATCTTATTTCACAAGTCAAGTGAAAACTCCGCCATTTCCACTTTTGAGATGAAGTGCCCAGATTTTTAATTTTGCATTTTGAAATTGATTTGTGGGGGGATGTTACACAATGTCTTGTAAACCTCTTTTCTCTCTCACACTCTCTCTCTTTCCCTCGGCAGTTCCTCTCTCCTGCTTCAGATATGAAGTCATTTCCTGAGAGCCATTTACTGGTAATTTCTGAAGACAGATGTAAGTGCTGTGATTAAAGCCCATTAGTGGCAGTGTTACTGAATGGTTTCCCACACTGAATACATTTCCGAACTCAGGCATGAGAATGTGTGCAACATAAATACACAGTGAATTCACTTTACAATATATTCTATGAAGCGCTTTGAGATATCTCAACGATGTGATGAGGTGCTGTATCAAATGCAGGATTATTATTATAGGATTATTATTTTTGGGATGGGGGAGAGAGGATGAATACTCTGGACCTTTTCCTTTGTTATCCTTGGTGTTCCGGGATTAACCGTGTGGAGTTTTGTCCAAGGATATAAAGTGGATGAGGTTATGTCCATTATCAGATTAGCTTTACATGGACAGTGGAGGGAGCTGGTTTGATGGTCAAATGGCCTTTTCTCATACTGGGCTTTCTTATGAACGATTGGGCTGGTGTGACTATCATAGAATTTATACAGCACAGAAGGAAGCCGTTCAAGCTATAGGGTCTGTGCCAGCTCTTTTAAAAGATCAATCCCACTCTCCCTCTCTATCCCCATAGCACTGCAAACTTGTCCTCGCCAAATAATTATCTATCGTTCCAGTCTTCCATCCATTCTGCTCCCCTCCAACCGTATCACCAAAGTTAGTACCTCAGCCTATGTGAATCCTGGGTAACCAGTGGCCCATGTCTCAGCAATGCACCGCCATCATCTCCAATATGCAGCGATGTTACATCAGAGCATTACTGTTCCCATTGTAATTTTACTGCTATTCTGTGACTCTTATCTTGCAATAAAAGAAAGTACCTATCTTGTGTATGTTATATTTAACTCGGATGGACTCGTGTAATGGGATAAATGCATCCTTTGGATGGGAGCTTAACCTGAGGTCCCATCTGTTCAGCTGGATGTTAAAGATCAGCCTATTGAAGGAGGGAAGAAGGGGTATAATAATAATAATCCTTGCATTTGATATAGTGCCTTATGTTGTTGGGACGTCTCAAAGTGCTTCAGAGAATACTACAACAACTTGCACTTATATAGCGCCCTCCACATAGGGGAGCGTCTCAGAGCACTTGATACGGTAAAGCGGGATTTTTTTTGAGGGATTATTAACTCCGGAAACTGATTTATGTTCTGAAACTAGAATCTAATGGAGTCGGCGGCCAATAGCTTTAATAATTATTTATAACGACAAAGCATTGGTATTCTTAAAACAAGAAGAAATATACATTAACGTTGAATCAGGAGATTCCAATGACATCCAATCCATAGTGTATAAAGGATCCTCTAATGGTCTGCTACATAAGGCACGTTTGCCTTTTATTTTTGAAGTAAATGATGTGCGAGTCCATGCAAAAATAACATTTTAAAATGAATTTATTTTCTTTCCTGTTAGGTATTGAACACTTTCACATAAGTGTAGTTATCGAGGAAGGTTACAGAGTGGTAAGTTTGCTCTTTATTTTGACAATTCACTTTAGAGTATAATTCTGTGAAATGCTTTGAGACGCCTCGAGGACGTGATATGTACAGTATTATATCACACATAAGGATTATTATTATAACCCTCTACCATTAAGGACGTGAAGTCTGACTAAGAGCATCTTTGTTTAATTCTTACAAGATGATTAAGAATCCGGACCGACTTCCCAAGGATATCGTGGTTGAAGATTTCCTGTGGGCGCAGTGGGATGCTCAGGGACAGAGGCTGTTTTGTATTGTTGAAAAGGTACGACAGATCGAGTGGAAGAATCGGCGTTTAGAACCGGAGCAACAGCAAACAAATAATATTTGCATCGGTTTAAAAAAAAAAAATACTTTACCAGCCTGGTTGTTTTTGTAAGAAAGTAAGCTTTTATTTTGGAGAAAGAGATTTCAAGGAGGAAAAATGTTTATTTTCTTTTAAAGAACCCTCCAGCCTCCAATAGTTAGACCTGAAGAGAAGTAAATCTTTGTGCTGCATCACTTTGTTTCTATCCTCAAGAGGAAATAGATTGTATCAAGACTGAAGTTTGCAGGGTACTGATGGAGATATTGTTGAAGGGGAAGTTGGAGTACAGTGCCCGAAGCAGACAATTTTCATTCAGTCACTAAATTTTTTTGGTATTTGTGTTTCTTCCTTACTTGTTTGGCTTTTGGCACGTGTGTTTTGCTAGAACTATTTTTGCCCCAGGGAACTCCACTTAAAGCTTTACATCATCTTCCCCCATTATTATTATTATTATTCCTCCCTGAACTGCAATTTAGAGGATCCTTTATACACTATGGATTGAACTGCAATTTTTGTTGTTGTTATATCCGTTTTATCAGTCTTGAAAGGGTGAGACACTGAGAGCACCCACTGAACCAGAGCTGACTCAGCTGCAAAGGGTGTTCGTGCCTTTAAAGTGCTAAAAGCAGCGTGTAATGTAGTTGGAAGCTGAACACTTTATTAGGTTAATATGGAGATTATCAGTGGTAAAATCATGACTGTAGGATTGTATTCCTTCAGAGTTGTCAGCTAACGTATTTAAAACTTCTCCCAGGTGGGAAATGCCTGAGATTTTTTTTTAAAAAGATGTGTGACACTCACTTGCCATATGTTGAAGCATTAGCTGAGATTCCTCTGGGGGCTGCAATTTTTGTTACTTATATAATTAATGTCTCCCTTCTCCAGCTCTCTGCTGGCCATTATAAGGCAACTGGGCCCACAATTATGGTTTCACTTCTGCTAGCGTTTAAGCTCCTCTTTACAAGAATGTTCTTCACAAAAATAAAGAGCTTGATTGGACAGTCCAGACAAGTTTGATGCTGGTTGCAATGTGTTTCGTGGTTGTATCAATGGCTTGACCACATCTCCCATTGAGTCAAATGATAAGTACTTGGGTGCAACGCTTTGCATTTACATCCTCTTGTTAAAGAACAAAGAGCTGTGGGTTTACTGACGTTGCCATGGAACTATCCTCTTGAGGAAGTTTGGCTGTGATTATACAGAAGTGTGTGGGATTTTTGATGTAACATTAGATCTTGTGATTTTACTTTCACTGTGAGCAACATCCTGTATTTATTCTGGCTTCATTTTCATTAGGAAAGGGAAGCGTTTCTGACCTGCACCCAGTTTTCCCCTGACACTAACTATGAAACGTTGGTAAGTTAGTCGTTTAATTTCTCAATCATGCATGTTATTACCTTGGTAGTATTTGTGCATTGCTTCAAACTTAAATACGCATTAGATTTTCAGCCTATAGCTGCTAAGTGCAAAGCAACCCCTAGAAATATTCTCATCAGTTTGGTTCAGTTGGTAGCGCTCTTGCCTCTGAGTCAGAAATACTGGGTTCAAGCCCTTTGTCAGGACTTGAGTTCCAAGTATCGGTTTGTTTTTTGCATGAGATTTTCCAACAAGATCCCACCTGTTCAAGTGGAAGTTAAAGATCCCATTAGAGTGAGACATGATCCCGTGAAAAGCCAACAAAGTTTCTTCCGATATCCTGGCCAACGATACTCCAGTTTAATTGGTCATTCATCTAGTGGCTGCCTTGTGGGACCTTGAAGTACAAGCCATTAACTATACTTTGACAATAATTCCTTACGAAGCTCTGGGACATATCAGTGTGATGAGATGATCAGATGCTATAAATATTTTTTTTTTTAAAAAAAGTTCTTGGTGGTTGCACTGGTCGTGGCAGAGTTCTGCCGAAGTTTGTGCCAAAGATTTGCTTGAATTGCGAGCGCTCTAAAATACAGTGTGGCCTCCTAATGCAGTTCTTGGGATCCATAAACTCCCACCCTGTGCTATCGCAAGGTGCAATAGATGGTTTCACTGTGCATGAGTGCAGCCGGCTAACTTGCTCCTTGTACACAGGCTGGTTCCTGTGTATTTATTTTTTTTAAAAAATGAGCAAAGCAGGAAGTGACATTGTTGGCGGTGACCTGATGACCTGGACAATGACCTTTTATTTAAGCGTGAGAAGCTAAAATGGCCTTCTCTTGGTCGCTGCCGACGACTTGGGAAGAGAGCGGGCTGGGTACACACATTGCGGTTCGTCCCCGGGAACTCGCTGTCATGGCACTCGGTGCTGTACGGCCTCCTCCAGGGCACTCACAGCGAAACCCACATAGAGTCCCTGGAGGATCTTAAATTCGGTAAAGGAGCCCCTTTGGCACTCCCGAAACCAGGTGGTGTTCTGGCAGATAGAGGGGACGGTGAGGCTCAGGCTCGCGCACACTTGGATCAGATCAGGGACTATATACTGAGGGACAAGCTGAAGCCTGGCTCAACCGCGGCAAAGGCCAGATGGGGCCTGACCCTGACAGGAGCCAGATGGATGTTCAGAGATGTGACCGAAGAGCGTCCCGAAAATGTACTTCGGGACACCTTCCGAAAGCGGCAAGCGCGCCTCAGCAGGGTGTGCGCGGACGTGGATGTAGTGCACACAGGGGCGACTCCTGATTGTGTTAAAAGGCGCGTCCCAAAAAACGTGCACACAACCCGTGAAGGAATGTACCGAAAACAACGGAACGTTTTTGTATCGGGAGAACGGGAAACATGGTAACCGGAGATGTTGTACGCTTGTGTTTGTTTTGGATTTCTGTTGTAACAAATATTACGTTTAAAAATAATTATATATTTTCAAAAAAAACACACACAAGCAGCGAATGGGGCGCTTACAACACTGTTATAATCGAATCCGAGCTATAAAAATAAGTGTTATAAGGGGGCAGCCCTGTCACATGATGGATGCCACAAGACCAGAAGAAAACTCCTATTTTTTTTAGTGAAGGCAGCGTTTCCTTACTGTCCAGCACCTTGGGACATCCCCCCGATGTGAAAGTTGCTATTCACAGATCATTTGTTGTTGTTGCTCTGTGTCGAATCAGTGCTGGATGTTCCGGGCTGCTCCATGTCTCCCGCCCGACCCACCCTACCATCGGTGTCCGGGCTTTCAGCCTCTCTGCCCCCACACTCTGGAACTCCATCCCATGGTCCCTTCGCCTCGCTTCCTCCCTTGCCTCCTTCAAGGCCGGTCTCAAGACCCTTCTCTTCAACCGTGCCTTTGGTCGCCCTCCCACCTCTCTGCCTTCCCTCACCCCTACACCACCCCTCCCCCATGCTCGGGCCCCGACACCTGACTGTTCAGTGCTTTGGGACGTTCTCCCGACCTGAAAGGCGCTCTATAAATGTAATTTTGTTGTTGTTGAAGGATTTTGAGGTTGCAAATAAAAATGTATTCCTTTTTCCTGTTGCAGCTTTCAGTACCTCTCGGATTTCCTTTAACCATCTCAAGATTATGGTGAGCTGTGCCGATGGTTTGCATTTACATTTGCTTTCCTCGTGATCCAGTTATCATTCTTTCCCTCTTTCCCCCGTATAGCAAAAACAAGTGTGACCAAATTTAGTTGCATTACTTTGATTCACGTGCACCTTATAAAGATTAAACATTTTAGTAAGTTAACAATGTTTTTAAATTCCACTTAAGTAAAAAAAATTGTAAGTGTAGCCGCGAGTTTATCTGATGAGGAGCTGAGATTTATGGTGAAGATTCTAGGCTCGATCCTCAATCTTTTCTGGTAACTGACCTCAGCAGGGGTGGTCCCTTTCAACGGCTTCTCATCCCACACTAGGCTCCACGAGCCTTATCATCCTCATCCCCGTTAGCCTCCACTGGCTCCCCATCCATCAGCAGATCGAATTCAAGATCCTCATTCTTGTGTTTCAATCTCTTCAGGTCCCTCACCCCATCATAGCTGTGTGATGTCCTTTAACCTTACCTCCTTGCCCAGACCCTCTGCTCAGTGATGTCTCCTGCTTTGTGGGGGGTGGATGTGTGGAGATTAAGTTGGCCAAATAGTACAGTCAAAAAGATCAGTCTTAAGAGCTTGGCTACAACATGAGCTAAACGTTTTGCAGTAATTCTCCTCCAAAGATAACTGGCCAAGCATATTCTGCACTGCCTGGGCAGAAGTTCCTAACCAACCATCGTTAGCGTTGATCACATTGCCTTATACTCCGAGACTAATCTGCCTAATGCCAATGTGCTCTGTGCCTGACCTGCTAGCTCTTAGTGATTGGTCTCTGGCCTGTTTTCAGCCTCGTCAGTTTCGGAATCGATCATTTCCGAGAGCAACAGGAATCCTCTGAAACCCCGAAGCTGCAAGTCTTCACAAGTCATACAGGTGCTGTCTGTGAGCGCGTGGAATATTTCTGCTCTGTGTCCTGAGTATTTCTCGCAGGAGTTGTGCTGAAAGAATTAAAACTGCAATCTATCAGACCTGACTGCTAAGAAATGTCTGGAAATCTCATTGGTGACTGCTTTTCCTCCCCTCCAAAAAAATCCAGGGGAAAAAGTACAAAATATTTGTTCTCATAGCCTTGGTATTTGAGATGTCTACTAGACGTGATTAAGGCGCTATCTCAAATGCAAGGATTATTATTATATATTATATTATTACTTGAGGACACGGAAATTGGTTTTAAGCTTCTTCTAAGGAGTCCACTCTCTTTTTCGTTAGCCCGCTGGTGTGAAATTTTCTAGGCAGTGCTTTAAGTTAGACAATCTCAGTTTATTTTATATTTGGCTGCAATATGACCTGAATGTTTTGCGTCCACGAATAAATAGACGAGGTTTTTGTTCCATTCAGCAGATGTACTACTATTTTCTGGCACTGGATGGTGCTTGTTCACCAGGTGGTGGATGTTAACGATCCCATGGCTTGATTTCAAAAGGGAAAGGAGTTTCTCTCTCCCAGTGTCCTGGCCAAAGATTCCCCAGATGAAATTAATCATTCACCTCGTGGTTGTGTGTGTGTGTGGGGACAGTGCTGTGTGGAAAATGTCTTTCACCATTGCCACAGCAAAGAACAGTAATTATCCTAAAGTGGGTTAAGATGGTGTGGTAGTGCTATAAAATGTTCTTTCTTTCTCAACTGCAATGTAAGAGTTGCTGACCCACAGAGAGGAGTTTATACTGGTGTCAGAAGTGCAAAGCCTTTTGCAGGATTCTTTCTCTCTTTCATAGCACAAAGGTTTTTGCGTGGCTTCTTAGACTCACTTCCCCCTCTCTCTTTTTCTCTCTCTGTATTTATTGGTAGAGCTTCTCACAGCATTTGTGTGTGTGTGTGAGGTTCTTGCAGATGCTGTCATTCCTCACATCACTTTTTCTGTGTTCTGTTTCTGAATTGTGTGATGAGTTTCGTTGTTTTTTCCTATTGTAGGGGGTATGTGTATGTGCCACAGTCACCCTGTGCACACTGAGCGTGAATTCTCCTACTCAGTGACTCTTCTACATCACGGTAAAATATACTTTATAATAAAATCCCCCTGAAGCGCTTTGATACATTTCAAAGTGCTATATCAAATGTGAGAATTATTTATTTTATATTGCAAAATGCACTGTAACTTGCTAAGTGATGTTAAACTAAGAACAGTTTTCATTGCATTCATATATAAGCTGACTACCAAAAGCTATTGAAAAACTGCCTAATAGCTAACGAGAAAGATACTGTGGAGAAGAGTGGGTCACGTGTCTATTGTGTTTGCTGCAGGCTGCAGAAAAACATTCACCGTCTCTTTGGAGACGACTGATAATCCCTGCGCGAGTGAGCCAACCTTTATAAACTTTGGTAAGTGAGGGATGCGGACTTATGTAACATGTAAATCCAAATCTGTTTCATGGGTATTCCAGTAAAGGTTAATTTGCTCTGTATTCTGTGTAGTAAACCTTGGATAGGTGAATAGCTGACGGTACCAACCCACGATTTGATCCCAGAAATTTATAATTCCAAGTCCATTGAACTCAACAGGCGGAGCTATCCAAGATGTTGAATTGTTTTAATTAATGAAGAGAGTGAGACATTCCTAGCTCAGTCACAGCCTGGGGTAATAATAAAACATCCTCTATTCTGCCTCTTAACAAGATGACTTAATCTTAACCCTGAAAAATCCTGACTGCATTGGATGTCCTGACATTTCATGTCCTGCACGAGCTTCCTTGGATAATGTAGTCCCGTGGCCCCTGCCCACCGTGACCTGCATTGAGAATGTTCAAATTCATCATTTATTTGAAAGGCAAACAAGAGCCCTGAGAGTTAGCAGAGAGGGAATGAATCCACCAGTCTGCAGTGGATTCATAACCAGATCCCAGTGACAAAAAGGCACCTTAGCCCATTGCAACCCTTCCACCCCAGCAGCCCCATGCCCAAAACGTGGACATTGACTTTAATCCAGTGGATGATTCCATTGTACTGTGAACACTAGTGAGGAATTTGTACCACAAATCATGATAGCTTATGTTGGAATCTTGCTATAGTGTTTCGTTCACAAAATATACAGTCAATTCACTTTACAGAGTATCCTATGAAGCGCTTTGAGGAGTCTCGACAACCTGATAAGGTGCTATATCAAATTGCAAGGATTATATTATTATTAGTATGACCTGGAGGGCATTCACTAATGTATAGAAATCTGGAGAATCTGGTTCTGACCAAACTGAAATCATCTTGTAATGAAATCTATGCTCCCCCCTCTTTACAGATTACTATGTGGCTGTTTACATGGCTGGACACTTCCTGCATCTCATTAATACACGCCTCCCCGCTTTGACTTGTCATGATTTGTTTTTGTCAGGTAAGAACAACTCAAACGAGTCTTAATGGACCAGATGGAATTTGTGCCCCAAGCCTTCAGTTTCCAATTTTAGCTCTCAGCTGAAGCATCAAGTTTTGGGGACCTATCTCTCTGAATACTTTTAGTTATCTTTACCCACCCCATCCCCCTTGGCTCTCTCACCCCCATCTTGGGTGCCAAGCCAGGGCTGTTAATTGCCTTAGGACATCTTCCTGAAGTGAAAGGCACTATACAAATTTGTATTGCCTCAGAGACGTTAATTTTTATTTCGAAAATAAGAGAGGAAAATACATGCGTTCCTGATAAAAATCTGTGTTTCTTAGGAAAGGATGCCAAAATAAAGAACTGGAACGACCAAGGTTGCCTGATGTCGTTCTCAGACTCTCTGCTGGACTGTCAGTCGGGGAAAATGTACAAAGCTGAAATAGACCAACAGTTTGTGATGTCAATCATGTCCAGCTGTAAACTGGACTGTCATCGATTGGGAGCCCTGCACTGTGCAATCCTGTACTTTCAGCAGCACTCACAAACTGACAAACAGGTAACTGGATCTTCCCCATGTGAAAGACGCTATACATGTGTAGTTTGTTGTTGTTGGGCTGCAGTTTAGAGCTGACCGCCTCATCAGTGAGGCCTTCAAACACAGGCCCGCTACGCTGCAGAAACCACAATGCATCTGCATCGAATAATGTCACTCGAATCCCTGTAGGAATCCAGAATTGCCTGTATTGGTTCACAAATTCTCCCTCTATATCACCGCCATCACCGCAAACTCTTTTGATGTATTTTGACTGTTAACGCGATAAAACTTACCAAGGTCCATCCCAAAATATTCCTCTTTGACCTCATCCTACCCCCAACCCATCCCTCCATATGCTTCTACTCCCAGTTTAGCTGCCTAGCGTGAATACGCTTTGGGATGTTGTCCTGACATGAAACACGTATCAATGCAAATTGTATTGTACAGTAAATGTGTACCAAGATATCGGGTTTCTGATGATATATTTTTATTGATCTCTGTGCAATTAATTGTCTTCCATTCAATGTGCTATTTTACTTTGTTCATTCCGGAAGTTTGTCCCCCAACTTTAATTCCCGAATTGTTTTTGTTGTTTTTGCCTAACAGATTATTGACTGGCTTTGTGATCATTTCTCAACGTCCGGTTCTTTTAATCCTATTCAGGAATTCATACTTGGTAAGAATAAAAATATCAAATCTATCATAAATTTTCTCTAATCCATAACTACAGGGATTGACTTACTGCATTGGTGTAAGTGAACCAGAGTGCAATTTCCCTTTCCCCTGGCTCAGATTCAGGCTCCGCCACTGTTAAGCGCTCTAAGACGCCATCCAGCGTGAAGGCCGCTATATAAATGGAAGTTGTTGTTGGTGCCTTTGTGGACTTTCACTAACCTGGCTTCTGGTACTGATGAGCTGGCTTCCTGTGTTTAATATTAAAAAAAAAAGTCTGACTTCTGGGAGGTGAGATGTTGCCGATATCATTTCCTACGTGATGGGCTTTATGTACTGGAAGGGCTGTTGGTGTCAACTAGACGATCAAACAATTTGCCTTTCTAATTGTTTCTTCAGAGTCACAGATGAAGAAGGGGATAATAATCTTAAATTTGCATTTGGTATTTTGTAGACGTTCATTCGAACTCTTTCTTTTAGCTACTTTGCACAGAAAGGCGATCTCAGAGTTGGCATCGCTGGATAAAGTATTACCATATTCATCCTTGCTCAACTGGGACGGGGTAAGGTTTATTCCGTAGAAATGAACAAGGATTTTAAATGCGCTACATACCAAATGCAAGGGTTGTTATTATTTAAGGAAAAAATTTGAAATGACAATTTCAAAGTTGCACATTTGCAGGCCATTCACGTTCAAACGCAGGATTCTAAGAATTTTTTTTTCTTTCTTTCCCACAATTCCAAATAGGAAATTCCTGGAGTGACTTGCAGAACTGAGAGGGTTTTGCCAGTTTTCGGAGGAAAGGTGAGGCTCCCTTGCAATATGCCTAACAATAATAACTGCAATTTTGAAAACAAAGCCAGGTAGAATTCTGCTATTTGTAGGTCAGCCTAAAGGCTGATTCCCATTTAAACTCTGGCCATTTTTTAAAATTACTTAGTTGTACAGGGTCTCCACAAAGTCCTGTTATGCCTGTGTTTTTTTTCTACGGTGCACTGACCAACAACTGAAACGTGTGGAAGAATGATAATTGTATTTCGAAGTACTTCATTGTATTCAGTGCAAGTATTTAGCTGTATGCAGACGTCCAGAGGATCGGTGTGTGTGAGCACCATCATTTGCATGGCAGATAATTATCTTTCACCATGTTCTTGGAATTTTGGAATACGGGATAAGAGGACTTTGTGGGCACCCTGTATTTTGTGCCTCTTACATACATTCTTCTGTTAAGAATGGTGAGATTTAGATGCCTCCGCGATGTGCTGCAGGGATGTATCAATCAATGTGAATGATTCTCTAGCATGTGGTTTGTACCTATATGATTACTTCAACCCTTAGCCCCTCTCCATCCCACATCATTGTTTTCAGATTCAAAACCATCGAGGATTTTGGGAAGAGATGATCCGGAATGTGGAATTTGTGAAGGTTAAGGAAGGTTTGCACAAGGCACAGTACAATAATATCTCCCTAAGGGTGGTCCAGGACAAGCTGTTTTCTGAGCTGGTAAGAGACTGTTTTGTCAGCACGTCCATTCAGGTGCCTTTATGGAGTTAACAACCGATGAAAAGGATTATACAATCAGATCCTTTTGGTTGGTTGGCAACTGCACTATTAAGAGTATCTGCTGTTCCTTCTATACACGCTACCTGTCAACTGGCACAATTGCTGGTAGCCCTCTCTTGCCTCTGGGCCAGAAAGTTGTGGGTTCAAGCCCCTTCTGGGATTTTCAGTTTAGCTCATCACCCCTGTGCAGTGCTGATCGAGAGGTACCATTCTTTGGAAGCTGAGGTCAGATGCATGTTAAAGATCCCATAACCCTATTTCAAAAGAGAAGGGAGAGTTTCTCCTGGTTTTCTGGCCAAAATCTCCCACATAAAATTGATCATCCAGTTTCTGAGATGTTGCTATGAGCAAATTTGGTTGTTGGATTCATCTTCAAATACTCAGTCACTGCCGCAAGTTTATGAAGTGCTTTGAGATTTAAAGGTGGAACATTATGTGCCTTTGCACATGATTAACCTCGCCTGCAAATTTTGCACATGGGTTGTTAACCCAATATGCAAATTAGGTCTCATAATAACCAACCACCTTATTCTAATTAAATGCTGTATCTACTTTACAAGTTCAGTGAATCCACATTATATTGTAGCCTATCGTGCTTGGCACCAAACGGTTTGTTGCAAATGAAATGTTTTTTTTAAAAAATTTGGCATACGTTCTGTTGTTTATTTCAGAATTTGAAAGATAAAAAGGTTGCCAATCGCTTAAGAAATATTTCAGAAAATGGCAAAAAGTAAGTTCACTTTTTTTTAAATTGCTCTTAGTGACCTGGTTGCAGCACAGTTGCGGGGGGTGGCTGCATTGTTACAAGAAAGGTTATTATTGTTATTATAAGTTTACAATTATGTTGTGCAGGGTCCTTTCAACTGTGGACACATGGAACTCAGGTAGGAAAAGATTTTATCGAGCACTATGTACACTCTCTGGAACTCCAACCTGAAATCCCTCTGACTTGCTTCATCCCTCTACTCTTTCAAGGTCTGTCTCAAAATGTACCTCTATGTCTGTGTTTTTGGTCATGTTTCCTCTCCCCCNACCCGCCTCTTTGTCTCACACCCCCAGCTCAAGTTCCCATCCAGTTCTGTGGATACACGTTGGGATGTCCTCCACTGTCTAAGTTAACACTAAGGTGTTATATGAATGTGTATTGTATTGTACTTCACATGTGTATTTTGTGGTACTCCCATAAGTGCATATTTGAAATTAAATGCTGTTCTGCAGCTACTGATGATAGAATAAATGGAGGTTATTTGAGAGTAATGGGAGTGATCATCACAATGTACCTGACCAGTGAAAATCACATGTTAAGTGTAAGATCTAGGTTAATGGGCACCGTCAGAAACGAACGGGGATGGCCCTTCTTCGTGAAGTCTTGGGACAGTTCTGGAATTGAGGGGGAAGATTGTTCATTGTGTCTCTCAGATGTTGGAAGACTCCAGGAGGGTCACAGAAAGACATGGTGTGAAAAACATTAAATGTACAGGGTTAAACGAGTGCTTGACTGTTTCACTCTTTTTGAATAGACCAGCGAGTGGTTCCACTGTTTCAGGAAGAAGATCACCAGCAGAGGATGCTGATAGGACTGGTAAGGTTTGTAAAATGCGTGCAGTCAGTGTGTAGTTTATCTCTGTACAGAGATACTGAGCAGTAATTGAGATATCAAATAAACAGTGCTGAAAATTCTGGGATGGGAAATGATGACTGATCATGTGGTCAAAGTCATGCTTTAAAAGGTAAGAAGGAGGGAGTAAGTTGGAGAGACTCCAGGATGGAGTTCCAGGGAACGGGGACAAATAAGGCTGAAAGCCCTGCTGCTGATGATGGTGCAATAGGATGGGGGACATGAAGCGGGACCAACATTCACTGAGTAAAGAGCTTTGGTTGAAGGATGCTGTAGAGGCGAAGGTGAGACATGGAGGGGTTTGAAGGTGAGAACGAGGAGCTTGAATTTGATCCGATGGGGGATAGGGAGCCAATGAAACTGGGCAAGGCTGGGGGAGATGGGTTTGCGGAGCCTGTTGTGGGAGAGGACACAAGCTGCAGAGTTCTGGATAGTGCTATACTATAGAGACACTCTTAACAATCCAACAAGTATCAGCTCAATTGCCAAGTTATCCTGGCCAGCAGCAGTGGAAGGTTCCTGTGTTCTGTCAATCTTGTCCCGGTCTACAATTATCTTTCTCAAAGCCTTCACAGTGAAATAAAAAAAACAAAGTGATGGTTTAAGAACAGTTGAAATTGGATCAGAGGCCTACAGACTTGTCCCCTTGCCTTTCTTATTTCTAAGTATACTCCAGGACATCTGAGAAACTGCTGGTGCATGTTATGTTATGGATAGGTTTGGTGGATAGGAGCTCAATGTTGATTTCTGAAAAAGGCAGCAAAATGTTGTACCTTTTGATTAGACTAACCTGCAAACAAAATACAGAGTCAATCCACTTTACAATATATTCTGTGAAGCACTTTGGGATATCTCAATGTCGTGATAAGGCGTTTTATCAAATACAAGCATTGTTATAAACAGCAGAGTGCTTAAGATCAGTTGATTATTTGTGGGTGTAATAATCCCTTCACAAAATAAAATTAATAATTTGGTCACTCAATTCACGACTGTTTATGAGACACTGCCGTGCGCAATTGGCTGATGTGTTTCTTGCACAAAATATACAGTCAATTCACTTTACAGTCTATTCTGTGAAGCGCTTTGAGATATCTCAACGACGTGATAGGGTACTTTATCAAATGCAAGGATTATTATTATTACTAATTATCCAAGCCTTTTCTTCTCTGTTGTGAACGTTCTCAATACGAGTAGGTTAAAAATGTAAGCAACTAATTGTGATAAATCTCTGTTTCTACAGATGGTTGAGAATCTGAAGGAACATTTGTTGAGATATCTTCATCGTGTCGGAAAGAAGAAGATTGACTGCATTGTTAACAACTATGTTGTGAACTTGGTTTGTGGCAAATTTGTTTGTTTCCAGCAACGTTAAATGCATGTTCTCAGCCCCACTATTGAACTTTTAGTCACTTTGCCCTGTTCTCTAGAAATCCCTTCTACTCACATTCTTTCCTCCCAGTCTTCAAAACCCTTCTAAAAACAATTTCCTCTTCAATCTCTTCGACCCTTTTGCTCAGGTTTAAGCTGCGACTCTGTAAAGCACTTTGAGACATTATGTGTGAAAGTCGCTCTAAGTGTGAATTGTAATTGCAGTTGTGAATTTCTTGCCAGGTTACAGTCTGGTGTTTAATTCCATTTGTTTCTCTTAAAGGGATTGTTGTCTTGGTGAACAGGAACAGAACAACGTGGTGTCAAGTACATGTTGTCTCTTGTGCATTGAACAGTTTTACATGATAGATAAATGACTCTGCTTCCTCCTCTTAGCTTGAATGCATCCGACAGATTGTGGATACATTATGGAAAAAATATGGCTTAAGCACCCACATCCTGACCTTGTAAGTGATGATCATTTTCAATCCTCATAATTAACCATGTGGGTCTGCAGTACCAAATCTGCAGTAGCACATTAGCAATGTGAACACTTTCATGTTTATTGCAGTAAAAGTAGAAAACCTGTAATTAGTAAATTCCCAATCAGATATTTTTCTTATTTTATCTTAATTATTGAACAATGACATATTACTTTTAAGAAAATAAAAATTCTTGCATTTGATATAGTACCTTATCAAAGGTTTCACAGAATATACTGGAAAGTAAATTGCCTACATTTTATGGGCGAAACGCGGCAGCTAATTCCGTACAGCAGTGTCCCACAAACAGTCGTGGATTGAAATGACCAATTTTTTTATTAATAAGTTCAAAGACTCTAGAATGAGAACTTGCAGGGTGTGCGGGGAAGTGTGTTTGCATACGTGGGCAAGTTTTGTGTGCTCGTGCTTGCAAACACACACACGTGTGTTTGTGCGCCTGAACGTGTCCATGTTATACACAGTGCCTATTTACAGCTAACTTTATTTGTAGAAATAGTTATGTGGTACCAGGATTGTGATGTAATTTCAACATTGATCTGAATTCAGGAGGCTGTTGAATTAAACCTGTTTGTTGTCTCCGCAGGTCCAACAGTGAAGAAGTGCACTCAGCAGAGAGCGCTGTGTTCCATATGATGAGTCGGATTTTAGAAGCTGCTAAAGGGCTTTGTCTGCCTCTACCACCAGGTAACATCTGGTTCGTAAGCAGCCAGTATTGTCCTGAAGTTTGTAGCTCTCTCAGGCCCTAGATCCCCTGCTAATCTAAGGCCCGAGAGAGCTACAAACTCTTGTTAAAGCAAGATCCTGCCTGCCTGTCCAAGTGAAAGTTAACAATCCCATTACACTGTTGTTTCATGCCTAAGTGGAGAGTCCTTTAGTTTCAACTGTGCTTCACACCTGCTGTAGGGTGGAGGGAAGCTTTGACAGATAGGGTGAGACTGAGGAAGGGAGTTCCTCCCGGTGTTCTGACTAACAACCTCCAGGTAAAATTGGTCATTTACTTCATGTCTGTTTCATTGCGCATACTGGCTTTTTAAGCACTCTGAGACGCTACCTTACGTGAGGACCTATATAAATGGAAGTTGTTGTTACGTTTGCCTACAAAATACACATTTCACTGTACTTTACAGTATACATTACAGACATTCTCCTGATGTGAATGGTACTATATTAAATTCTATTATTATTGTTACTCTGGTTCACTTAATACTTTAGAAGATTGAGTTGACTATTATTGGAATTGCATAAATTAATCCATTACTTTGGTTGTTTTTTTATTTGCAAAGATACATGATTGGAGGTCTGGACTTGGCCTTAATGTCTCTGTTAAAATTTGAGGTTATACAGAATTTGGAAGCTTCTTAAATTCAATTTGGAAACTGGTTGCCTGCTGTTTTATAAAAAGCTGCAGAAAAATGGTTTCTAAGTTGAGGCTGAATATAAAAATCTACCAACATTTTAAGACAACAGTCTGAAGGCTCGAGTCAGGTAGATTTTCAGCTGCTTGTTTGCTTCAAATTCACCCCTTATTGACATTTTTCTGAAGACCCACCTCTTCGACTGCACTTTCGGTCACCCTCCTATCCTATAAGGAGCCCTCAAATCCTCCTTATCCCAACTTCCAGCTCGAGTCCAAATCCCTGGCTGTCTTGTACCGCCCGACGTGAAAGGAATGAAACAAATGTAATTTGTTGTTGTTGATTTTGCGCAAACTTAAAGCAGTCATGCAAATATTAAAAAAAAGGTGCAGTGATCTTATGTTGGTGAGGTTTCGGTTTTTCATGTGAATCAGCCTTTTTAAGGAGCCGAGCCCTGAATTGCACGTTTTTATTGGTTCTATGCAAATCCTTGTTGAAGTAAGCAAGAGTCTTACGGGTGAAATTTCCACTGAGCTCACCCAATGCTACTTTAGGTAAGGTATGATACAGCATAAGATTACCTTTTATATACAACCAGCCTAACCTTAAGAGGCCCATTAAGCTGCAAGGCAGAACGAGTGATTTATTCTTCAATACGCCATGTATCCAAGTGGAGCAGCTTTGTTGATTCTGTTCCTCTGTTGCCATCATACTTTCTGCATGATGCTGGAGACAAGGAAGGATGTGGACTCAAAAACGATCTGACCTTCCTCAATGATGCTCTGCTGCCAACATCCCCAATTCTGTCTGGATGCTTCTTCTGAATTTTCTTTCTACTTCTTGATTTTTCTTTTCCTTCCCCCATCTGTTTCCACTCCCCATCTGTTTCTCCCTCGGCCACACCCTCCTCCCCCCCCCCCCCCCCCCCCCCCACACACACACCAATTCACCCGGGATATTGCACTAGAATCAGGACATTGGAGGCCAAGGAACAGACAGAACTGTGGGAGCAAAATGGAAAACTTTTAATGACACTCAAGGCAAGAACTATTATTTTTGGTTTTGGACTCAATAAGGTCATCACTTTAGGGCAAGTGTTCCAGGGCACCTGATGTTAATTCCGAGCATTCAGGACCAGACAGAACCCCCTCTGCTCTGCCACACCAATCTGCTTCCCTTACCGCACCATGGTGACGTTTCCATCGCTCTCTTTCTGGCCATTCTTGTGAATTTTGTGATTGAGGTTGGCAACTTGTGGCAGTTTCAATGCTATGAATCTACACTTCCTTAGAAACTCTCAAATAGGCCGCATTTGATAAGACCTGGCATCGTCCTGACTACTCAAACTCTCCTGACAAATGTGCTAGTCAGGGTACTGAGCGATATGGGGCAAAGGTGGGTAATTGGAATTGAGGTACAGATCAGCCATGACCTAATTAGAATGGTTGACAGGCTTGAGGGGCTGAATGGCCTACTCTGTTCCTATGTTGCTAAAGGACCCGTCCAGGTAAGACACTCAATTTGAGCATTTTGTCCCAGAGTTGAAAGCTTAAAGTCTAATTCTCTGTATTAATATTTTATATTACTTACTTGAACCTCCAAATTTAATCTCTATTCCTCTCCCCACCCCAGTATAAGGATAAATAACAATGACAACAACTTGCATTCATATAGCACCCTTCACATGGGGTAGTGTCTCGACACACCTAAATTATCCACATTATCTTACTGCAGCTTCACTTAGTGTGTCCACAACCTCCTCCATTGAAATTGTATGTGTTCTCAGTGAAGTTTAATAAAGGAAACAAAGTGCTTCCAAAAGCCAGGTTTCAGACTTAAATTTCCGTGTTTCGAAAAAGAGTCAAAGGTTACCATGAACAACACTTATGTTGACTAATATGTATCTTAAGTGTCAGAAGCCCAAAAGGCTGACTTGGGCGTGGAATTGTGTGCTGAATTGTGGTAACTTGGATGCAGCACTGGATTGAGTGAACTCGTAGCCAGGGTCACTCAGTGATTCCATACTTACACTTATTTATTGGCAAAATTCTGCATTTTTTGCAAGGCAATGCTACTCATATGTTCTGCCGCGTTGCTTGTGCTGGCAATACCTCAACACTGTGCTTTATCAAATCCAACAATTTTCTCTGCTTTCAACACAGGGTATCATACAGTTCATATGCTGTTGGGCTTGCGATGTCTTCCTTTGCACACCCTCCTGCATTACATTGATCACGGTCTGCTGCAACTTACTGAAGTGTTTGTCACCAGGCTGCTCAAAGGTAATATAACGGGTAATATTTATGATTCATTGTGAACCTGAGCCATACAGTGTTGCACCACCAAAAAATTAATTAAAATCTCAAATCCACGTTGAGGTTAGATATGGTTTCCAAGACACACTGCTAGTGAAACAAATGCCCTGGAGATCAGCTTGAATACCTCGATTGAAGGCAGTGAATGGGGGGGCAGCACTTGTATGTTCCAAGCACTGATGTTCCAGCCTATGGTGTAGTGGACAGAGCCGCAGCTTACAGACTAGGGCCTCACTGGTTCGAATCCCACTCAGTGCTGCTCTGAGCCAGACACATGGAGGCCAAATTGGCTTACACTTCCCAGGGATAGGAAAGGGAAAACCAGTCAAGTTTCCTCCTCATTCAGCTCTCTCTACTGAGTGCATGTGAGTGCCAACATGACAAGGTGGCCTGCCAGCACTTACTGCCAAGTCTTGCGCCTGAAAAGTGGGCAGGCCAAGAACACAGAGGCTTATACCATTGAGGAGAAATTAGAAAAAAATACGTGGATGTACTAAGTTTAAAGATTTTAAGAAAAGGTCACTGAAGGTGGCAATAAGGAGCATTAGGAGCCATTACCTTCAAAACATGGTCATTGTGGTCATTTATGTTCTTTGGATGAGATGTTTAAACCGAGTCTCATCTCTCTGCCGGTTTAGGTGGATGTTAAAGATCCCATTGTACTATTTAAAAAGAGAAGGAAGTTTCTCCCTATGTCCAGACAAATAATCCTCCATATAAAATTGGCCATTCACTTCATGGCTGTTTGTGTGACATTGCCGCCATGCTTGCCTACAGAATACACAGCAAATACACTACTACAGTATATCTTGTGAATCGCTTTGAGACGTCCTTGTGATGTGATAAGCACAAATATTATCTGCCTGGAATACATGGCAAGGGATCTCCCAGTCCCTAGACGCAGTGCGCAGAAGTGAGAATGATCCCTAATGTTAAAGAAATGAGCTACGAGCAATAATTTGGAGTCCTGTAGCTCAGTGGTTGAAACATGCAAGTGAGAGACCTGGGTTTGATTCCTGGGCAGGGTGAAACATTGGGCAAGTTTCCTCACTCCACATGCCTCTGTTTACCTAGTAGAAAGTAAGAACCTGGTTGTTAGTCGATTGCCAGATCGCTTTTCCGGGGGTTATAATTCCTTAAAAAATAAATAATAAGTTGGTCACTCAATCCACAACTGTATGTAGGACACACATACATAACCCTAAGTGTGCAATTGGCTGCTGCGTTTCACCCACAAAATATACAGTCAATTCATTTTACAGTATATTCTGTGAAGCGCTTTGAGACATCTCAAACGTGATAAGGCACTGTACCAAATGTAAGGATTTTATTATTTATATTATTATTTGACAGTCCTGAAAACATGAAAACAGACATCTCAGATGGGATCTTATAGAGATGTACTATATTGCAAATGGTATTTAAACTCCAAATAATACTTTTGAATACATCGAGACAAGAGGACAAAGATTTAAGGCAATTTCAGGACACACCAGTATTAAATATGGCTTTACTTAGAGAGTAATTAACGATTGGAACAGGTTACCAGGAAGGGTGGTTGAAGTCAGGATGCTGGACTCATTTTAAAAAACAGCTGGATGCTATAATGGCCCTCCAAGATTGGGTGGGTAATCTGAAAGGATGAGATCAAATGGGCCAAAGGTCCTTCTTCATCCAAATCTCTCTTGTGACCTTGTGAATAGTTTCACGTAGAATAGTTTTCATTTTAAGAGGGTTTTGATTCACATCAGTTTTTATTGGGGAGGGAGGATCAGTACCCAACTAACACTCATCCACAGGTTCCAATCTATGAAATTGATTGTAATTCATACTGGATTCCTCTTTAAGGAAAAGTTACACACCATGTTAATTTACTATGTAGAACCTTCATGTGTGTTGTATCCCATGATGGGATCAATTATATTAAAAGATTGTTTTTAGTATGAGTACATTTTCATGTTATCGACTTTGTGTGTGTTGTACAGACCTTGTGTGTGTGTATATATATATATATATATATGACATGGTACATAGAACTTCATAGAGTGGAAAGCACATTTTTTGTAGCGAAGCTAAGTATTTGTGAGCAGACTGATAATGATTTTAACATGAACTTCTCATCACCCAGTATAATATATTTTTATTTATCTTACTGTTGATGTGCTTGGCCTTATTATTGTAAAAGTTCCCAATTGTTCCGGGAAAAAAAAGAAAAATTGGTTATGGCTTTGTGGCCGAGAAACTGGGGAGTTGAAATGAGCCAGAACTATGAGATCACAGGAGAGAAGCTGTTAAACTGCATGCTTTAATTGCAGAAATGAAACATACTTAATTATGTAGAGCCAAAGGAAAACCTTAGCCCTGCATTATGTAGCATTTATATCTATCTCATGCTGTGATTGTCATAAAACACAATCCATTATCATAAAAGTAGATTGCTTCGTCATGCTGAGATCTTCTTTTAAACAAGATGTTATTGTGAGGAGACCCTCTTGTGTCTCAATAAATCGTATGACAAAATTGTTCCATTTTGAGGAACAATTATTTTTCACAGTAATCGGACAAATTGCTGCCAAATCTGTCTAAAGAATATCCTGTTTAAAGATTTAGGATTCCATAGAATACGCCTCTCTTTGTGGATTTCCTTCGGGGCAGATCCAAGTTCTTTGTAAACATTGGGGCGAGGGCTGATCTGATGCAGGGTTTTCTCCACAATGTCTGTAAATGCAACTATAGTTTCCTCTGGAATGTCTCCAGTTTCTTCTGGCTCTATGATGGGCAGGCCAACTAACCAGGGTGGAGATATAAGCTTCCACGCTCAGGTATTTGTTTTGTGATAAGGCTGCGTTCCATCATGTTACTAACTAAAGAACATATTCTTAAATTAAACCTTCCCACCAGGGCCAGCTTTCATTGATTGAACCTGTTGAAGAGAGCCTAGAAGGGTACTGAGAACATCTGATTTTTGCTGAAGGGACGCAACACCAAAAGAAAGCTGAAACCTCTATAATATGTTGTGCTGGGATGTTTCAATCTTCTGGATCTCAGTGGCTGAAGCAGCAACAATAAATTGCATTTTTTATAGAGCCTTCTATATCGGGAGGACATCCTAAGTTGTAGCGTGTTGAGGGTTTGCACCCGAGCTGGGGGTTCGGTTTGATGGGAGCAAAAGATGACTGAAGGCGCAGTCGAAGAGGAAGGTCTTGAAGGAAATGAGGGAAAGGATGAGGCAAAAGGACTCTAGGATGAGTTCCAGGGAGTGGGAGCAAATAGGTGGAAACCCCACTTGCCAATGACTGATGGGCAGGGCGTGCCTGCCAAGTGGAGGGACTGGGTGGATCGGTAGGGTTAAGAGGTTGCAGAGATAGAGGGAGCAAGCTTGGAGGGATTTAAATGTGAGGATGAGGATCTTGGACTCAATCCTCTGGGGAATGGGTAGCCAGTGGAGGGAGCGATAGGCTCATGGAACCGAGTTCAGAAGAGGACACAAGCTGCAGAGTTCTTGGTGATGTGCAGCTCGTGGAGAGAAGAATTGGGAAGTCCGATGAGCAGAGAGTAGGCGTAGTCTAGTCTGGACATGATCAAATAGTCATACGTGCAGATAGCCTTCACTGTACTATAAGAGTTGTACAGACTCCAAACTATCCAAAATACATTGTAATGCAGAAATGTTCTGCTGATTTGGCCCATTCTTTCTGTGCTGTTTAATGTTGTATTTAGCAGTCAATTGTTGCCTTTCATAGAAAGGCCATGGGTCCTGTATTCTATGTTCTATGATCTGTTATATCCTGGCTAACAATCCCCCAAATAAAACTGGGCATTCCCTCCGTGACTGTTTGTGGAACATTGCTGTGCACAAATTGGCTGCCCACCAAATACACAGAATCACATTACTTTACAGAATATCCTATAAAGTGCTTTGAGATGTCTCAGTGACGTGATAAGGTGTAATGTCACATGCAAATGAATGGATTATTTTATTCTTCCCCACCTCCTTGACCAGTAGATTGAACAGATAGCCACTGAATGGCAAAGTTTAGTTATAGTCAGGACCATGAACAAGATGCCAATCCCTCCCCATAGCTCTGCAATACGTATTCTGTCAACTCAATTTTCCACGTAAGGAGTCAAGTTGTTGGATCAAAAGATATTAACAGTGGGATGCAATGTATGTCTTACGTGCCTGATAACCGTGCAGTGGGAGTACCGTTAGTTAATTCTTCGGGATTTTAAGTGGTTATGCTTTGAAAGTTTCCTTTCAACAATTTTTCAAAGGAAACTTGTTCCACCAATTGAGGAATTTATGTTGTCTCTCAGAAACATGTACCATATGATAGAAGTGACATCTCCACATATGTTGCCAGCATCATTTTCTCATAATCAATAACAGCTCCATTCTCTTAAAAGTGGCAAGATCACAAATGTTTTAATTTCATTGTGTTGATTCGCCTCTCACATTAGGAACATGGAGAGACCACATTGCACCAACACAAGGTGTGAAAAATAAATGAACAATGTTGATGCAAAAAAACGAATCAAATTAAAAATAGGACTGTTCAAATGGACCATTTTGGCCTTTTCCGGTTTCTTGCATTCCTTTGAAATTGCAGATGTTACAAGACTTAGATTTGAAGGCTCCAGTTTAATTGGGTTCGATATGTTTACAACCTGTTTGAGCTTTCACTGTCATGAGTTAACACCTGCAGCGCTCTGTTTGGGATAATCATTCACAGAGATCTGTCCAGCTACATGCAGGCATGTGGGAGCTGTTACTAAAGGGAATATCGTAGAAGGCTTGTTCCACATGAGATTTGCTCCAGAATTATCAGCGCTGCAAATGCTCACTCTGAACTACCCGCTGTTCTTTTTCCTTAACTAAGGAACTGTGCAAATTAAATGTTCCCAATTGCTTTGAATTCATGTGTATTCAGATCCAAATGAATATAACAGTAATGAAAGTATTTTACCACTGTACCGTGTTTATTTGGTTCAGTACATCTGATTAATGCCATTTTATTTCAGTCTAGTTTGGTGTACTGATTCTTTGCATATTTTGTCATGTAACATAGTGGTTAGAGCACTCGCAAGCAAGAGAACCCGGGTTCGATTCCCATGCAAGGAGAAACCTTAGGCAAATTTCCTTACTCCACAAGCCTCTGTTTACCTAGCAGTAAGCAGGAACCAGTTGTTAAGTAGACTAGTGGATCGCTTTCTGGGGGTAATAATCCCTTTAAAAAATTAATAACAATAATTTGGTCATTTAATCCACAACTGTTTGTGGGATACTGCTGTGCTCAATTGGATGCCACGATTCACCCACAAAATGCACAGTTAATTAATTCATTTTACAATATATTCTGTGAAGCGCTTTGAGGTGTCTCGAAGCCCTGGTAAGGTGCTATATCAAATGTAAGGATTTTTATTATTTTAAAATAAAATTCTGCACTTGGATGTATGGTAAAGCATCATTATAATTAATAGCAGCAAGGAAAGTTGGCAGAGGAGTTGTTGGAATACATGAATTTCTAATGACTAAACTGGAACTTGACAAAGCATGAGACCAAGGTAAATTGTGAAATTAATAAAATTGCCTTGGATTGCTTTCAAAGCTTTAACGTGGTCTAAGAGTTTGAGGTACCAAATTAAATCGCTCTTGTGCTTTATACATTTATCTGAATTGTTCAAGAATGCTTCAAGAATTGCAGCAGACTTTCTGTCATCTTTTACCCATATTATTAATAATAATCCTTGTGTTTGATATAATGCCTTATCACGTTATTGAGATGTCTCAAAGCGCTTCGCAGAATATATTGTAGAGGGAATTGCCTTTTTTTTGAAGAAAAGGACATATTGCAGGTGCTTTTTCAGAAGCTGTCGGTCCAAGGTAAAGGTACAGTGTGTTGGCAATCCAGTAAGACACGATATTGCAGTCGCAATTCTCCGATGGTTAATTCCTGATCTCAAACCCACAATGGACTCTGCTTCTACTATCTTCTTACTTATAAGTGATTTCCACATCCGAACCTTTGATCAGTGACTATTGATTCTCCCACGCAACTACACCAGATGCAGTGTTAGCAGTCACGGGAGCAGATTGTCTATCAATGCTCTTGGAGGCAATCTGTATGTAAAAGTTTGAATACCCAGCAACGGTAATGTTTCAAGGAGATTTTTGTTGTATCTAATATTTTTCTGGGTTTGCTTCACACTGGAGGGAGAATAGAGTTGCTGTTTGTAGTACCAGCAGTGCTAGTGTTAAGAGTTACTTCCTTTACTTCCCCTTCTTTCTTGCCCCCAGAATAAGTTTTGAAATAAAGTATTTCTGACTATTATCTTAATAATCTCTACTCCTCTTCAACATTAGGGTTTCAGCCCTTTTCCTAAAGGGGTCAAAATTAAACGCCAAAATCAGATACAAAATCTTTGCAGAATTTTTTCACCGGTTTATTAATTGTAAACACCTGAATTCGAAACACAATGCTTCCAGTCTGGAGCTTCTTGCGCACCACACTTCCTTTAGCAATTGAGACATAGCTGATTTCCTGCCAAAGTTAGTTTCGGTGCTGTTTAAGACGTCAAGCCATTATTTCTGTGAAAGGGTGGTTATGGGGAAGGATGTCACAGTAAGTGCTGAGATATTTCCGTTCCCTTATCAATGCTAAACTACTTCTGTATTTTTCAGCTTATTGTACGCCTTAAAAGTGTCGAAAGAGAGTCCTGTAGATATTACACAAGGGATCTGTTCTGTATTCTGTAGGAACCGGGGAGGTGTGAAACTATAACTGCAATTCACTTGTCACTGTAGAGATGACATGAATTCATCCACAAGATATACAGTTAATTCACTTTACAGTGTATTCTGTGATTATTTAAATAATAAACTGAAGTTTACCATTCGTTGGTTATGAAATGCTAATCTAAAACTCTATGGTTGCAAGTATAAATTCAAATAGATACCAGAAAAGTGGAGTTCAAAATGTAAAATAGTGCGTTTGAGTAATTCAAGTGAGAGGTGACAAACACATGCATAAGGGTTTTGGCTGCATTTGGGGTATGGTCAGAGGTGGGCAATGTGGCGGAGGTGGAGGAAAGCGGTCCTGGTCAGGGACTGGATGTGGGGGAGTAAGGACAACTGGGGGTCGAACCGAACGCCTAGGTTGCGCGCTGGTTCTGTGAGTCTGAGAGAGAGCCCAGGGAGGTTGAGGAGTTCATATCCGCAGAAGTGAAGACGTTGACAAGAGCCAAGGAGTATGACTTTCGTCTTACATTCAGTTGCAGGATGATTGCACTTATCCAGACCCTGATGTCTGCCAGACAAGCTGATAGAACATTGGAGGACCTGGAGTCGATGCTGAAGGAGGCAAAGTAGATTTGTGTGTCATCCGCATACACGTGGAAGTTTACCCCGTGTCTGCGGATGACATCACCCAGAGGGAGCATATACAACAGCTTACGTTTATAATAGCGCCTTCACCCGGGGTAGCATCTTGGAGCGCTGTTCTTGTGGTTGTTTCTGCTTTTCTCATCAGTCAAGAATAATGAGAGACCGGTGGAGAAGGTCTGATAGATTGATTGATCTCATTCTTCGAGAAGACCCACTGTACCGGCTTCTCATTACATTATCGAGCTGTTTCCTTTATCTAAAAATAAACTCCAATGGATGTTGCTGTAGCTTTTGGAAGGCCCTATGTTCTGTAGGTTTCTTAATTGTAGCTCACGTATCAGTTCTTCAGTACTGGGAATCAGTGAATTTTAAGATTATGTTAAAATCTAATTTTAAGATTTATGGGGCTTAATCTTAAAATTAGATCTAAGCCATTTAGGAGTGAAATTAGAAGGCAGTTTTTCACGCAAAGAGGAATAGTGAAATGGAACTCTCTTCCCCCAAAATACTGTGGATGCTGGATCCATTAAAATTTTCAAGACTGAGAGGTGGATTGATATTGTTTAGGTAAGGGCATCAAGGGATATGGGGCAAAGGCTGGAAATTGGAGTTGAGGTACAGATCAGCCATGATCTAACAGAATGGCGGAACAGACTCAAGGGGCTGAATGGTCTACTCCTATTCCAATGTACTACAGAAAAAGGACAGATTATTGATGTACAGCGAGTTTAGCCGTGTATTTGTTCCCCTTGCCAACTGAGATTGGTTTCAATAGAAGTGGCTGCGAATGCACTGCTAACTTATTTCTGATTTTGTACATTTTCTTACTCTCCAGATCTTGATAACTCCAAGACAAATGAGCTGTTGAAGTGTTGCATTGTGGCACGACTGCCAGAGGTAGGTTCTGAGCAGCTGGGAGTTGTCACATTTGTTTACAACTTCTCCAGCACCCCCCTCCTGACGCGAGACAATGTGAGGAATCTTGGCTGTTTTGACCCATCAAACCCACTCCTCCTCAGACCATGTGGGATCCACTCTATCATTGACTTTTCAACGTCTGTTTAATATTGCAAGGGAAAGCTGCTCGTAATTACTGCTTGAGCCTTAAAGTTAACTGACAAAACCTCCAACACTATCCATTCCAAGACCCCATCATCATCTGAACTCACTATCTGCACAGGATAGGATGAAAAGAAAGAGTTGTAAGAGCACTGCAGTAGGATATCAATGACGCATGTGTGTGTGTGTGGGGGGGGGATTGAGTAAGGAAAAGTCAGAAGATAATGGACTAAATGGCCTTTTTCGCATTCTAGGCTTTTAGACTTCCTTATTTCTTGGGGCTCGGGAGAGCAGGAACTATTATTTCTTGTGGGGTGTTTCATAATCTTAGTCTTCTTGTCCTAAACCCCTTCATGTTCCCAAACGGATATTTATCCAACTCTTTTCTGAAGCAGCTATCCTCCGTCACAATTTGATCGTATTTGCCTGGTTTCCGCTCTGTTGGATCTGAAACCCGGTGAAACAGTAGTCTTTCAGACAATTTGTCAGCATTTGTTCTTCCGGTCTTTCATTTTATATATGAATATTAGTGGTTAAGACGATTTGTTATAAATTGTCAAGCCTCCACCACCTGTTCAGTTGATGAACAGGAGTGGATTACAAGCAGAGCTGAGGCTTAACGGTGATTTTGTGCAATATCTGGTTAAAATGGCAAACAACAACTTGCATTTATATAGTACCCTTCACACGGGGCAGGGTCTCAGAAGCTGACACCGAGCCGGCGGGGGGGGGCGGGTGGGAGGAGGTAAGCATGCTCGTAGATTCATGTCTTCGCTCATGATCTATTATACTGTACAATAAATATCACCCCACCTCTGTCAGCTGTTGTGTAACTGTGAGTGATTACGCCAACATTACTGAAGAAGATTCCGAGCTGTAACTTTAGATTTCTGGGAATTGAGAACCCGTGAACGTTTCATAATTTTCATGCCAAATACAATCTTTGGGAGTTTGATGTGCAGGAAAGTGAGAGAGACTGTGCCAGATTGTAATCCCATTCTGAGTACCGTGATATCTGCTAAATAATTTGCATTCTTGAGGTCCAGTAAGGTTCCATCGGCAGGGAGGCTGCAGGGCTTATCACCTTGTTTGGAGTGTTTGTATTTATAGCAGTAAATAGGAACCCAGTTGTCAGTCGATTACTTTCCGGGCGTTAATCCCACCAACTCAGCGTCAAATCCCACCTACTTTTTCTCTTAACCCCTCTACACCCTCCATGGATAGTTGTAGAATTGTGGCGTCCTGTAGCGTATTGGTTAGAGCACTCGCCTCGCAAGCGAGAGGATCTGGGTTTGATTTCCGGGCAAAATATTGGGCAAGTTTCCTTATTGCAACGCCTCTGTTTACCTAGCAGTAAATACGAACCCGTTTTTTAGTCGACTGGCGGATCGCTTTTCCAGGAGCAATAATCCCTTCAAAATAAAAATAAATTTAAAAGATTATTATTTGGTCACTCAATCATGACTGTTTGTGGGACGCTGCTGTGCACAGTTGGCTGCCACGTTTCGGCCACAAAATATACACTCAATTCACTTTACAGTATATTTTATGAAGCGCTTTGAGACGTTTCGAAGACGTGATAAGGCGCTATATCAATGTGAAGGATTATTATTGATTATTATTCGGGGGGAGAAAATGGGATCCAAGTGCTGTCATCAAAAAAAACATTGTTTTTTGTAGGAAACTGCTTTTATTTCAGCCAGAATAACTTATAAACTACAGGTTTTAAGCACTCTGAGATGCTACGTCATTTGAAGGTGCTATATAAATTCAAGTATAGTTGCTATAATCAAAATGTCAATGAGACAAAAAAGGGGATGATTTCTAAGAACAATTTGAAAATTGTGGGGTTTCCTTAGAATGCTCTGTATATTGTTTGTGGGACACTGCTGTGCGCAATTGGCTGCCATGTTTCACCCACAAAATATACAGTCAATTCACTTTGCTCTGAAGCGCTTTGAGACGTCTTGGCGACATGATGAGGTGCTCTATCAAATGCAAGGATCATCATTATTATAAATTGTGGAGATAGGATTTTGTGAAAGTAGCTTTGAACGCGGTGTGCTCTAAATTGTAGATGACTGGAGAGAAAATCTGGCACGTCTGGGAACATCCAGTTAGTTCATCCTGCATCGCACGTAACTATGTGGAAGCTCTGCTCAAAAGAGTGAACACCCAACAGGTGAGCAGGAAAGTGTATTTGGGAGCAGGCTGGCATTGTTCAACATGTCCTCCTCCAGCATTGCACTCTTATAGCATTGCACAGTATCGGTGTGGTTTGACTGTAGTGAATGTACATTTATTTTTGTATTACCTCTCGGTGGAGTAGCTGGATTTACGTAGTACTAAAGCTTAAGTCTGCGGAATTGAAGCACTTCTTCTATTCTTATCGTCCAACGTACCGATCAGGCGTGTTTAGTATTGGTCTGATGTAGAGCAAAGTATCCTTTGCACTAGTTAACCTCTTCGGTTTAGCAACTTATTGTTTTTCTCTGAAACGCAGGTTAAGTGGCCATTTGGGTGAAGTACATGATTCTTGCTTTGAATACCTGTCACCGAAAAAGGTTTCATTACCCATTTTACAAGGGAAAAATTCATGGAATGAATTCCACAAAACAGTGACACAATAATAATGGATCCGGTTTACAATGGACTGTATTTTTGGATGTACAAATTGACAGAATTTGCGGAGTGTGTGCGTTTATAAGCTTTTTTGGGTTAAATGCCACTTGCATTTAGTGCATATGTTATCAGCACTGCTGAGGAAGTATTTAGAATAATTATAAACTCATTTCTAACGACTATATGTGATTCTCGTTTGGAAAAGTAAGATAAGTGGATCACATTTACACCACAGCCAAGTCCATTTGATGAAGCTCTTGTACATTATTCTTAATCAAAAACTATGTTTATAATCAGCAATCAGAATATTATTGTCTTTGTAGTTCCATTTTAACGCAACCTTTTTATGTAGTAGGGCAAAGGAGGTGATTCTTATTCTGATTTTACTTTTAGAAATCAAAAGTTTTTTCCATGAGGGACCAATCGCCTTTCGAGCCCAAGTTTTTGCCTCTGACATGCCTCATCAGATTCCTTACTGAAATGGAAGATCAAGGCATGTATGATTAGCTGTTTCTTTCTACGTCGTGATTTCAAGTTCCTCTCACTCGCCTACAAATCATCGCCCTCGCACCTCCCTACCTCGCCAAACTGCTCAAACCCCACTCCTGAACCCGGCTTTCTGCATGTCCCTCATCCCCTTTGCTCCACCATCGGTAGCCGTGTTTTCAGCCATCGGGCTCTGTAACGCTTCATTAATAATAATAATAATCCTTGTATATGATATAGCGCCTTATCACGTCGTTGTGACGTCACAAAGTGCTTCACAGAAAATCTGTAAAGTGTATTGACTGTATATTTTGTTGGTGAAACCTGGCAGCCAATTGCACACAGCAGTGTCCCACAAGCAGTTGTAGATTGAGTGACCAGATTTTTTTTTAATCGATTATTGCTCCCCGGAAAGCGATCCGCCAATTGACTAACAACCGAGTTCCTACTTACTGCTAGGGAATCAGATTCCGATATTACAATGCTACATTGCCAGGCATGTTGCCTTGGAGCCAACTCAGGCCCAAACGCTGCTCACTTTTTTTCTCCCCCTTAACCCCCACACAAACAGCCATGAAGTGAATAGTCATTTTTTTGTATGAAGGATTGCTGGCCTGGACACGGGGAGAAACTTCCTTCTCTTTTTAAATAGTCCCATGGGATCTTTAATATCCACCTAAACCGGCAGAGACGAGACCTCGGTTTAAACGTCTCATCCAAAGAACATAAATGACCAAAATGTCCTTGTTATTAAGGTTATGCCTCCTAATGCAAGGATGTACAAGCCAAGAGCAGCTGAATTGGCCTAGCCCAGTACATTTAAGGGGTGGGAATGGGGGTTGCAAATGATGGTGCCTGAACTTTGATTAAATTGATGGCTGTTTTTAAAGATCCCTATAGATCAGATGTTCTCACCATCCCAGTCTCGAGTCTGCATCTGTGGTGGCAAAATGGGAAAGCTAAAGAAGGGTTGAAATCCATAAAACCAATAATAACAATTTATCATCCATTTCTTGGCTTGGCTTGCCTTGGCTTGGAATGTCTCAAATACTTCAGGAGTCTGTGACCAATCAAGTTTAATGGTTAAAAAAATGTAATGCTACGTGCATAGTTTACATAAACTAAGTATTTGTGGTGGAGAAACAAGACAGATTTATTTCAAGCTTCCAAACCTTCCTTCCCTTGTTATTTTTCCATAAATACATGTCGCTACATTTTACAGTGTGAAGCGCTTTATGTGAAAGGTGCTGTATCAAATGCACTGCCTGAAAGGGATGGTGGAAGCAGATTCAATAATAACTTTCAAAAGGGAATTTGATATATACTTGAAAAGGAAAAAATTGCAAGTCGATGGGGAAAGTGCAGGGGGAGTGGGATTAATTTGATAGTTCTTTCAAAGAGCAGCACGATGAGGCCGAAAGTCCTCCTTATGTATTGTAAGGATTCGCCAGACTACGGCAGACTACGGCATTACCTCACCCCTCACGCTGCTGAAGCCCTGGTCCACGCCTTTGTCACCTCAAGGCTGGACTATGGGAACTCTCTCCTCGCCGGCCTTCCCGGCACCTCCCTCCACAAGCTGCAGGTCATTCAGAACTCTGCAGCTCGTGTACTGTCCCGCACCAGGCTTCGGGACCACAACACTCCCACCCTCGCTCGCCTCCACTGGCTCCCCATCCCCCAGAGGATTGATTTCAAGATCCTCATCCTCACCTATAAGGCCATCCACGGCCTTGCTCCCTCCTACCTCTCTGACCTACTATCCCCCTACCTACCTGCCCGTACCCTCCGTTCCTCTGGCTCCGGTCTGCTCCACGTCCCCGCCCCAACCGCCCTACCATCGGTGGTCGGGCCTTCAGCCTCTCAGCCCCAAGGCTCTGGAACTCTATCCCCAGTGCCTTCGCCGCCTCCTCCCTTTCCTCCTTCAAGGCCGGTCTCAAAACCTTTCTCTTGACCGAGCCTTCAGCTCCCCTCTCGACTCTCTCCCCTCCTCGCCTCCCCTCACCCTGACCATTTCCCCCCTCCTCGCTCCCTCCCTTCCCTCCCCTCACCCTGACCATTTCCCCCCCAATGCTCGGGTCATGACCCAACTGTGCAGCGCCTTGGGACGTCCTCCTGACGTGAAAGACGCTTTATAAATGGAATCTTGTTGTTGTTGTTGTTGTAAGACTCTATTAAATGCAAGGACAATGATTATTATGCTTGGCAAAAAGGTACTGCAGCCTGCCTGTGTCGCTGTGTGATATGCTCACCAACAGGGACACAAGAAGAGTCCCAGGGTGACTCTCTTCCTATTTGGAAGTCTATCACTTTTGTTCAGGTCTTCCTCATCATAGCGTGACTGACTGATGGCTGCACATGTTGGTTATGGTGAATGTGGATACAATAACAAAATTACATTTGTAAAGCTCCTTTCACGTCGGGAGGATGTCCCAAGGCGCTGAACAGTCGGGGGTCAGGACCAGTATACCAGTGTCTACTCCTGTTCTGCTTTCAGTATGTCTAACAATGAGAATGGTTCTCCTTCTTTCTGCAGCGTTGAATCCTTTTGAAGAGCAGGAGAACGTGGACGTAAAGTTTGTGGAAGAGATAGCACTGAAGCAAACACTGGCTCTTCTGGGCCTTGAGAATCTTTAGAATGAACAATGCTGATCCTGTCCTACCATTTGCGATATTATTAAAGGGAACACCTTCAGCACAGTCCTGCCAACCTACCACTGATTGTGTAGATGGAATTGCTGTGGACCGATGACTAAAATGGCCAGCGGTGTGGTTCAGTATTCAGGTTGGAGGGCTGCATGTACAAACGAGGATTTGACCCTAGAGTGAGTTTATTTGACAAAGTTGTTTGCTGCGTTGCTAAAACGATCCATCTGGAGTGTGGAGTTTGGGGCAGAGAGAGAACAATTTGCTCACTTTACCATGAAGTTGGCAGGGATCATGGTTGTGGAAAGATCTGGGCCTGAGCCCATCTGCTGCCTCAGCTGAAAGCTGCACAGCAGGAAGGCTGAAAATTGAGTGAAGCGTGTAAAATGTTTGTATAGTTTATATAGCATTGTTCGAATCCACCATAAAGTGCTATTTATCTCATTCCCAGGTTGAGTTTCGCATTCTTAAAGGTGCTCAGACTGGAATATGTTACTTGTTGTTACTTATATACTTTTAAGTTTTTTAAATTAGTTATTTGTTTTAATAAAAAAATGTCATGGTTTCATCTGAAATGTTTAGGAAAAGCTGGCAGAGCATCTGAGAATTGGGTCGCAGCCCATCAAGGGCAAATATTACTTGCCTTGAATTGACTGAGAATTAGTAATGTTTATTGTTTGAAATTCTCAAAACATAGGACACAGCATCGCTAGACGAAAGAAGACTAAGGTCCATCTAGTTCGCCTTCCATCATCCTGTCAGTCAACTGCACATGTCATGTCCCAAACCATATACTGTATCCCAAGATATTATTTCCTAAAATAAATCTATCTAATTCGCTTAGATAGATTTAACACTTTTGTCGACAAAGCTGGCTTTCCACACAGAATCTTAATTTCTGACTTTTCAGTAGCGAATATTGTCTTCCACTTATTGAAAATAATGCAACTTTTACCTCTGGGGAAAGAGAGTTTCAAGTTCCTGAAAGTGATTGACCGTCAGTGAGGAGATGGCCACTTTCAACAAGACTGTGATAAACGTCTTTTGTCCATTATAAGATTACATAAAGTTTAATTTGAAAATGTACATTTTATGGCTCTGCTCTTATCTCTAGTTTGTATTTTGACTTTGTAAATGTCAGTACATTGCACGTATGTGTCTCTTGCCAGCTTCAAGACAAGAGTTGCCCATAATGATTTTTTAAATATTGAATAAAATAAACAGATTGCTCACTGGTGTGTATTTTATATTCCTATATATTGTACATAATTCATCCCATAATAATAAACCTCGGCTCTGTATGAACTAATGTGCAAAATGTGCTCATGGCGGAGAATGGGGAAAGAGTGTTTCTTTATCTGATTAGTTATCTCTAAATAATCATATAGTGACGCATGATTATTATTACTTTGTTCCAATGCAGGAAATCCAAATCCACACAAACATTCAGATCAAAATGTTACACATCTGTTCACAGGAGAACGTAAGAAACTGGTCTCGTCAAAGGAAATTCAAGTCTATGCTCTGGAGTAAATGTTGAAAATGCAGCAGATCTACTTATTAAAATGGGATAAGCATTGACGTTTGCTTATTAACTTAAAGAGGGTTACTTCAGTGTTTACTGGGTTAAGAAATAAGGTAGAGGGCACATTATTCACAATAATTTTTTTAATCTGTTGAACCAGAGGGACCAGACTAGAATAGCCAAGTCTCCCTTTAGCCTCTGTTGGCAGTTGATAACTTTGTCAGAAATATTTACTGATGTTTTAATTCACTAGAAAATATTGTAGGCCAGGTCTGTGCATTAAACAGTGCTCTGGGACCTATCCTGCGTGAGGGATGCTGTATAAATGCAAGTTGTTGTTAAAACTGTTGTGCAACTTTTATTTTCCGGGTGAGCCCATCCCTCTTACTCCCCTTCACTTAGGTAGCTGTTAGGTACCTTCCAATTCCATGTTTAAGTGTCCATTATTCACGTATGAACACTCGGCTAATCTGAGAAAAACTGTGATTTTATGTTCGTTCAATGTGTGCTTAATCTCTCTTTTTTTAAATGGCGTAAAACTTCACAGGAGAAGCACATTAATCATTAATTGCTGATAAAGCAATAAATCACACAGTCACTGCCTTTACAGTATATCCTGTGAAGCGCTTTGGGATGTCCTCCCGACGTGAAAGGTACTATCACAAATGTAAGGATTGTTATTAGATTAAATTCCTACCATCTCAAATGGTGCTTTATTGCTGGTAGAAGAAATATCGTACTTACATCCAACTCATTCATGCCTCTTTATCTCCACAATATTCCAAGTCATAAAGGTAACAGTTTACTGCATTTTCCCCCACTGTATTTCCTTTACTGTATGGATTTCATATATCCATATAGAGGTATGGATATATTAAATAGGTTCCCAACTAAAGAAAATGCTATTAAAACAGCTATATAACCGGTTAGAAACAAAGCTGGCCAGATTGATGGGTATAAGGGCGAATATGGTTATAAATATTTGCACGCTGTGTTGATCTTGAGCTGCTGAGAGCAGGCAATACGTTTTGTGCTAACGCAGGTAGATATTGTGATCACTATTTAGTCCTCTCCCCACCCATACCTTTTGATATTTCTCTTCTTCAGATTTTATCTAATTCCCTCTCCAGGAAATAGATTTTGCCTTAACTACCTTTCTGGGTAGGGCATTCCACATCCTGACAACCTTAAAATAAGTGTCCGTAAAAAGAATTCTGACCTCTCCCTGTGCTTGTTTGGGAATTACCTTAAATCTATGCCGTCTAGTTATTACTTTAAGGATATTCTATCTGGTGCAAATGTCTTGCAGACATGTTATTCCTTGAATTTCTTCATAACACATGCTTAGTTAATTGATGTGCACTGTTGCTGAAGTTTCTTGAGCCAAACTGACTCATCCTGAGATGTGAACAGTCTTTTTTTTGGAAGACCGATGTGAATAATTGCCATTTCCCAGTCCAATGCTTCTCCCAACTCCTCCCAAAATGAATCAACTGTTTTTATATAATGGCAATTTACTACTGCCAAAGTTTAAAACATTCTGTTTTTCTCTTACTATTAACAATCTACATTTCTATTAACCTTTTAGTTCCATTGACTTCTTGGAATATTCATTGGTTATCCTCAAATGACTTTCATGTGACTTCCAGACCTCATTACTTTGTTTATTTGTATCTTTTCTGATTACCCTAAGGACAGACTTTAACAGCTCATTTAGCTGTTGCCATATTTCTGTGTTTTTAATACAAGGTTAGATTTTCTTTTCAAATGTATCGAGATGTTCTATTTTCCTTTTGTTTTGTCCTCTGGCTAAAATACACAGTCAATCCACTTTGCAATATATTCTGTGAGACCTCTCAGCGACGTTATAAGGTGCTATATTAAAGGCAAGGATTATTATTATTATTAGTTCTGCTCCTGATTTAGTCTTCTTAGGTCCTGAATTCACTCCTTGAAGTCACGATCTTATGTTAATTTTGGCCTATGACATTAGCACAATTTCAAAATAATCACTGAATGAAGCTTGAAGCATATTTTTCCCGCCTTTTTTTCAAATTAGAATTAGGTATTGAAGAATGTTGAAACACATGTAAACAAAATATTTAGGAACTTGTTAGTTTTCATTTATTGGCATCTTCCATCTCTTTGCAACCGTCTATTTTCAATCCGGTATATGTACGCAATTGAAAGTAAAGTTAAAATGCATCAACTAACAATCTAAATATAGTAAGTGTTATTTTAGTGGTACTTTGTCATTATAATTAAACAATTTGTCCTGTAGGCGCTTTACAAAACTGTAAATTAAATCGTGGCAATTTATAAAACATTTAATCTTAATGTTTTAACAAAATAGAAGCGTGCAATAATTAAAATGAAAGAAGATTTTTCTTTATGTGAATGCTGTAAGAATTATTCTACTTCGGAGAAGCTTTGAGATCCAGTTGAAACCAACACTATATTTCAATTGGTTTAATTGTTGGCTTTCTGAAATGCCGCATGTTTGCACCAGGCTCGCTGGGTTTAAACGGAGCCAGATTACCATAAGGACGTGGAAGAGGCAGGCCAGAGTCATCGTCTGGGATGTAGGCATTGGGCCGTGGGTCAGCAGTTGTATAAATCCCACTTGCCAACAAATGCTTGTCCTCCTCTTCTTTTTCCTAGTTTGGGGGAACAAAACGGAAAAATAATTAGCTACGTTTTTAATTTTTGCCCACAAAACATTCAGTAAATTCACTTTACGGTCTATCCTGTGAAGTGCTTTGAGATTTCTCGAAGATGTGAAAAGGTGCTATATCAAATGAAAGGATTATTATTAATAATTTGAATGCAACTGCTGAGGAATTGCGATAAGTTGATGATTTGATGTACCAAAGATCCTCAGAGTTACAAGTCTCGGGTCTGAAAGTCTGAAATTCTCCAACCATTGGATCTTCTTCACTTGGTGGGAACCTGCCTGTGGAGATTGAATGGGGTTGATGTATTTTGAATGATGGCAATTGGAGAATAGGTTCAAAGCACTCGTGCACAAAGTTGTTCACCATTTTAGACTGGATGTGACGTAAGAAGAAAATGCTTCAGGAAAAAAAACATTTTCAGTATTGTAAATTCTGATAATTCTCTAAACTTCAAAGCTGAATCATTTACGATTATAAATGTGGTCGATCCTAAATGTGGACTGCAAAAGTTCTCACTATTCTATTGTTGTGCTTCCAATTGTGTAAAGAAGAGAACAGGAAACAAGGAATCTATTTACTCCATTTACTGCTTACTCCTGGTGATCTGGTCAACTATGCTTCAGATGAATTCGTTATTCATCTTGTGGCTGTTAATGGAATTTTGTTGGTGCAAATGATTGCTCAATTACCTTCAAAATTCAGTGCATTTAACCGTAATAGCTGTGAAGTGCTTTGGAGATATTTTGCCTTGATATGGTGTCATAAAAATGCAAATTCCGTGATAGCTTTTAAAAGGGAATTAGAAAAAAAATGAAAAATATCAAAGTGTATGAGCAAAGAGCAGCGGTTGAGGCTACAATGAATAACTATATCAGATAGCAGGCATAATTATAGGACACTACTGTGTGCAATTATCTGCCCACAAAATATATAGTCAATCCACTTCACAGTATATTCTGTGAAGGGCTTTGAGACATCTCAACAACATGATAAAGAGCGAGATTAAATGTAAAGATTATTATTATTTTAAATTTGATGGACTGAATGCCTTCTTTCCTGTGCTGTAATTATATAATTCTGTATTAAAGATAAATTTCGTAAGCCATTCACATAGCAAACTGGATTCATACCTTTGCCTTTATTGCTTTAGATGCTTTGTATCTCTCTTCATTGCGTATTATCTTCAACCACTCATTTTCATACTCTTCACAAGGTGCCAGATTCTGTTCCAAACGCAGGTAACATGCTTCCACGAACTCCTGCTTATCACTGGCTTCCTGTTGCAGTTTGATGGCATTAGCTTGTTGCATGGATAACTCAGAGACCACAGACATCATCTTTCTGGTAATTTCTCTTATTTTTCTTTGCAGTTCGTTTATCTGCAGATTAAAACAAAACACCCGGAAATGTTTTACATCCAGAAAAGTGTACTTACTTATACTAAAGAATTTACAGTCACCTTCCCCGGCTCAGTGTCAGGCTCCGCCACTATTAAGCACTCCAAGACGCTACCTTACATGAAGGTCGCTATATAAATGCAAGTTGTTATTGTAATTAAGGGTACACATGTACATTGTAGCACATTGTGGTTCCAAGCACTCCGAGACACTAACCAAATGCGCTATATAAATGTAAGTTGTTGTTGTGCTTCCAATTGTTTAAAGAGGAGAACAGGAAACAAGGAATCTAGTTACTCAATGAATTGGTTTCTTTTAATAAAGATGCAGAAGGGAAAGAATCTGCTCGTGATTCTGAAACATCAGTGAAAGTACAGTACTCAGACCATGTGAAGTCATCATCAACACAGCTCATCACTTCTGACTGGGGAGCATTTCAAGGGTATTTAATTTTGTTAAGGCAAGTGAATATCATCCTGTACAATTCATTGCATTTGGACTATTATGTACAATGTTGGCTTTATCTTCAGGAGAACATTGTTGTATTGTTTGATCATAGTTTGGAATGGAAGCTACAATAAGTTAAACTTGTTTTTTTATTGGAGGCAACAAGAATGAGAGCAAACATAATCAAGTCCTTAAAATACAGTCAAGTCCTTAAAATTGCTATAGTTGTGATAGCAGAACTCCAGCCGGTGAGTACAACATTAAGAAATAGGGGGAGGGGGGGAATGGGTTTGAAATATGGTATATAATCTGATAACTAATTATCACAAGGATAAAAAGATGCCATTTTTTGTAAGGTAGTTGATCCCACAAGAAAGGGAACAGAGTTCAGAAGACATCAATAATAATAATAAACCTTGCATTTAACGCCTTATCACGTTGTTGAGATGTCTCAAAGCACTTACAATTTAATGCAGCACAATTTAATGTGACTCTGTACCTGTTTGGCCAAGTCCAGAGTAGCCTGTTTGCCATTCTCAGTTTTTCTGCGAATTCTTTCACAAAAACGCCTGACTTGTTCACAAATCAGGTCCTTTTCAAGTAATTGCTCCTCTTTTCTTGCCAGTTGCAAGTCCAGCTGAGGGAGATGAGAAATGAGAAACATTAGGTCACTGCATGCCTATGGGTTTCGAATAGCAAACTAATTGATGAGACAAGGAAACTTACAAAAGAGAACATGTCAAATCTCAGCTGCTCAAAGAGAAAACAAAAATGAACAAAAATAAACAACAGTGGGTTTACTTGTAGTGTTTCTTGATGTAATTCCTTAATAAGAAATCAGATATTTACAAATGGGCACTCCTTCTGGTTAATGGGATGTATGTCACAGAAACTCACCAACTCACAGTAAGTTCTCTCAGACATGATATACTCATGAAGCAAAGCGTTTGAGGGCAACAAATGAGAATCCTTATTGTAGAATACAGTTAAGAAATGCTGCGAGTTAGACCCAGGTAGGGCTGATTGAAAGTAGAAGGACCAAAATTGAGATGCTAAAATGATCTTTTTCAGATCTTGTTTGCTGGTGGTCTTACTATTTACATCCCACAAGATCATAATATTGGTCTGGATGAAGAAGTCCCTATGGCCCATCTGATCCCTCCAGAACACCCATTCTACTGTGTCCCCATCACTACATCAAACGTTTTAAAAGTATTAATAATAATAATCCTTGCATTTGATACAGCGCCTTATCATGTCATTGAGATGTCTCAAAGCGCTTCATGAATATACTGTAAAGTGGATTGACTGTATATTTTGTGGGTGAAACATGGCAGCCAATTGCGCACAGCAATGTCCCACAAACAGCCGTGGATTGAGTGACCAAATTATTCTTTTTAAAAATATAATGCCCTCAATATCCTGGCCGCGACCATCTTTCCTGACAACCTGTTCCAGTCGTCGATTTCCCTCTGCGTAAAGATTAAGTTTTTTTTGTAAACAATCAGATTCTTTTTGTTTCTCATGAAGGGAATGGGTGAACATTGCCTTGTTTGGAGAAGGAAAACTAGACATCATGGCATCGAGCTAGTACAGCTTGATATCTCAGCATTTCCATAAATAATGTTATAATATGTTCCATCTCTGCGGAATATTTAGATCTGTGAGAAAATCTTTTAAAAGCGTACAATAGCTGGCAGTATTTTAGATAGGCTGAAATGTGCTGTTGGACCTCAATAAATGTTCTTGCCATCTCTTTCATGCTCTGTCTAACAGCAGCTGGACTTCATTAGCTAAGCTGAGTTACAGTTATACATCGCAATTCTGCTTACAGTTATGTGAGCCATTTTCTGTCACATTAACCTCAGTAAAAATGCGAAGTAATTATTATAATATTAGTTACCTGTGGCCTGGGTAACAAGTGAGGTGCTTTATAACCAAAGCACTAAATAGCTTGAGTATTAAGGATGTAAAGTGAACAATAAGACTGAACATTCTGTTTGCTTTGTTTATTTCTGTCTTACAGTATTTAACGACTGAGGTTTCTATCAATTCTAGGCGAGTTCTATCTCATCTGTGGAGTGCATTTGATTCCTATTTTTACTTCCTCTATCCTGTACCTTGTTAAGGCAAGTTAATTTCATCCTGTACAATTCACTGCATTTGGGCCTATTTTTACCCCTTCCTATTTTTACTTCCTATATGCTGTACCTTGTATTTATCTGTATTGAATTTAATTTGACGGTATTCAACTTGCCTTGGATTCATCAACTGTTTATAGTAGTTTATAGTCCCTGACCCGGACCACCTCCATCACATTGCTCGCCTCCGACCGTACCTTACCCCAAATGCAGCCGAAACCCTCGTGCATGTGTTTGTCACCTCCTGCTTGGATTACTCAAACGCACCGCACCCCTCGCTGGTCTCCCCAGCTCCACTATTCAAAAGCTCCAGCTCAATCAGAACTCTGCCGCCCGCATACTGACCCGGACCAAACTCTATACCCACATCTCACCAGTCCTGGCCCAGGCTCCACTGGCTCCCCATCACCGAACGGAGCGACTTCAAGATCCTCACACTCGTGTTCAAATCCCTTCACTTTCTGGTACCGCCCTACCTCCGACCTCCTCACTCCCCAATCCACCAACTGGCGCCTCCGCTCGATGGCACCTGCCTGCCCCACCATCGGAGGTCACGTTTTCAGCTACTATTGCCCCGAAACTTTGGAACACTCTCCCTCAATCCCTCCACCTTGTCCCCTCGCTCCCCTTTCTCAAGTCCCGCCTGAAGACCTGCCTCTTCAATTGTACTTACAACCACCTACCACCCCCGGCTCGGAGTCAAGCTACTCCACTGTTAAGCAGTCTGAGACTCTACCCTGCGTGGAGGGCGCTAAATAAGTGCAAGTTGTTGTTGTAGTGCTTTGATAAAAGTCTTGCATCCTACAATCTGCATGCCTTAAACAAAGTAATTTAAATTATAAACACGGGAACAGTATCAGATTTATTTTGTTACCTGGTCTATCTTTCCGGTCAATTCAGAAAATGAAGGATCTTTTCCTTCCAATAGTCGTGCTCTGTTCTTCGCTGCAGGATTCTGCATCCGCTCTTCAAGGTTTCGTACTGTAATCTGCCACCGTGAGAGCTACAGTAAAATCCATAAACAAAATGTCAGAAAATTAACCCTTGGGACATAAACAGAAGACTCATTAATATGATTCTCATTAATGCACATTGAAGTACAATACTTATTGAAGCCCAATACTTGAAGCTATAAGGCTCAATGAAGATCAGGGTAAAAAAAAATGTACAGCCATCAATTTGACCTGAACTTTACAAATCCAATAACTTTTGGCAAATAATCATACAAAAAGCTTTTTTTTTTAGCCTGATATTATTTATCTTTACTTTGAGGTCTAATTTCAGGAAACAACACCATCAACCAAACAAGCAAGTTGGTTTTATCATGTGGAAATGATAATAATAATCCTTGCATTTGATATAGCGCCTTATCACGTCATTGAGACATCTCAAAGTCCTTCACAGAATATACTGTAAAATGAATTGACTGTATATTTTGCAGTGAAACGTGGCAGCCAATTGTGCATAGCGGTCGGTGTCCCACAAATAGTCGTGGATTGAATGACCAAATTTTTATTATTTATAATAATCATATAATAATAATCCTTGCATTTGATATAGCGCTTTTCACGTCTTTTAGACGTCTCAAAGCACTTCACAGAATATACTGTAAAGTGAATTGACTGTATATTTATAGGCGAACGCAGCAGCCAATTGCGCACAGCAATGTCCCACAAACAGTCGTGGATTGAAAATGACCAATTAATTATTGTTTTGTTTTTGGAGGGATTATTATTAGGCTCTGTGTGGAGTAAGGAAACTTGCCCGAGGTTTCGCCCTCTGCCTGGAATTGAACCCAGGTGTCTCGCTTGCAAGGCGAGTGCTCTAAACACTGAGCTACAGGACTCCACAGGTGACTCAATTGTATCATTAATAACCAATGTGAAAGGTTACAGAATCACCTCTAATTCTCTTCATTTGCTGCTAATGAAATAATTAAGAGCCTGTTATTTCCTCTGTACAAATGAGTTTGCATGCCACAGACTCCGATGGTGGACGCCGAACACATGATACAGGGTGACACATGGTGACCCCATTATTACGTGTTCTGATTTTGCCAGAGTTTGCCTGTAGCGAGCGTGAGTTTAAAAAAACGGAACACTTTATGATGTGAAGAGGGAATGGTAGGTATTCTGAAAGGTTGAGATCAATGGGGCCTCCTTCTTCCAAACCGATCTTTTTTGATCTTGTATATTGTGGACTCGCGCTTTACAGGCAGAATGGCATTCAGCCGGTTTCCCAATCTGACAAAAATCACCACTTTCCATGTTGCAAGTTATTTGCAGAAAGCACCGCTGATGTCACTTCCTGCGTGCTGTGCACGGAAATTGCTACAAACGTCACTTCCTGCATGTACGCGTCTCTCTTTGCAAAGTAAGTGACACTGCGGCGCTTTCTGCCCCACACACAGGAAGTGACATTAGTGGTAATCTGAAGGCCCAGAAGATGTCTTTCTTTGTGCTTTGTTTTAACATGGGAGCCTGAACCTATGGTCCAAATCAGTGTGTTATTACAGGGTTCCCCTGTTTGTTCTGGGGAAATGTTCTTCATATTTTGTCTTTAACACCCATGTTAAAAACTGCAGAAAATTCATCCGTCCCCAAATCTCTGCTGTTCAACCCAGATTTCCTTCCCTCCACAAAGATCTTATTAATAGTGCCCAACCCGCACTACAGCATAGAAATGATCGAGTGTCAGATAATATTATTCACCTTTGTCTGATTTATTTCATCTAACATCTAAATGCTGTTTACAGCTAACTAACCCTCCTGCTCTTTATTGATGGAGACAATCAACACAACATCAACTTTTTTGTTTCAGTAGCTAGTCTACATATTGTGTGTGTTGTTGGTTGGCACTCATTTACTTCATTCAAGTTCAAACTAGTATCTTCATAACATCTAAACAGATCGTCTTTGCAGTGCCACCAGCATTTATATTGTGCTTTTCATTTAAAAGATAGTCTTAAGCTGTCTGAAAGCATTGTCCTGTGCTAGAAGGTTAATGTCATGCATCATACTGTTGAGAGCAGTGACTGACCTTTTTATTTCTTGCACAATCTGAATATTAGACCAATGGTCTATCTGACACAGTTTCCACTTGTTTATGAAGTTTTAATAATAGAACCATTGTTCGGATGTGATTTGTTCAAATATTCACATCCTCAGTTCTTAGATGCTCTGGAATAAAGCCAGGATGTGACTTGGAAAAAATTATTTGCTTGATGTGTACTGTACAATGTTTGCAGCAACGATCGAAATGTCAACAACACTGCTGTCTGTTCCAGTCTAAGTTTTGGTATCACAATATCCTCATGTCATTAATCTTTTAACCTAAGAAACCTATTAGAAGATGGTTGATAAGGATCTGTGGAATGCAGTTTGTTGTACAATTGAATAATAATTCATGTGTAACAAAAATATAATTTACTCCTGAGTTCTGTAATCAGTTTATACAATGCATGATTAATAGCAGCAATTTAACAAGGGCTGGCGAATAGTGTAAGCTGCTTCCCTCCGCTCCAAGACTGAATCTGCACCATTAAAATGTCCTAAAATAGAGTGTTTGCTTATGTAGATATTTTTTTAATTTTGTGGGATAGGTGTGGTTAAGAACTGAAAAAGGGCAAGCGATTTGATTCTAATTTGCGACACTGTAGGCACAGTTCAAATGGTTGATGTGTTTGCCTGTACAACATTCACTTAATTTCTGATTAATCTTACGTTGTGAAGGACTTGAAGATGGTTCTGTTATGCGAAAGGCATATATATATTCGTCTCTTTCTGAATATTGCTATGTTCCTACAGCTAACTCGGCCTGTGGGGAGGATTGAGGGCAAGAAACCAAATTCCTTTACTTCATATCAAAGCCAGTTGATCTCCAATACACTGCGCCAATCCCTTACAAAAGCTATTTTTAAAATTGGAGTTCTGGTTACAAACAAACCACTTGGATTCCTTCTTGCACTCAAACCAACTTTTCTGTTACTGCTTTTGTGTTTAGACAAAACACTAAGACTTTGTGCTTAAGTCAGTATGTCAATGAAAAATGTCTATTATTTGGCAGGAAAGAGGACTGTAAATTTCAACTTTTAATTGTAAGAATGTTTCCAAGGCAGCAAATGAGATGGTATGACTCTTGAGATGTTGTTTAACCACAAAATCCAGTCTCGCTTATTTCACGTATGTGAAAGGAGTTTGCTATTTTTTACTCGAGAAGTAAGTTTGTTTATACAAAGCTCTTCACTGTCATGTGTTATGTAAATTCTAGTATTTTCCTTTTCCTATCATCTGGAACTTAATCCTGGATGCAGACAACATTGCTGAGAATGTGTATGAGAAAATTTGAAGCACTTTGTTTAATGTGATTAATATCATCTTCACTATGTGAAATAATTTGTGTTGCTGGACGAAGTCTGTATATAGGGTGCTATTTATGCCAGTCAAACATCTGGTGTTCTGAGTCACTTAGGAAAGAGGTCAAATTCCTCTTAGATCTGTCATAAAAAAATCTGTTTGACATTTAAATCACGTTCTCCAAACTAAATTACTGTAATAATGTAAAAATTGCGGGGGAGTCATCTTTCCCCAATGAGTGTGGCATTCGAATGTTAAGATTAGATTTTTTTGTCAACCGAAAGTACATAAGAAACAAATTTCTCATAATGCTAGGCACCGCAAGTTTTGCCATCAGTCGAACTTCGTCTTGTGGGTATCTCACTTTTAAGGTAACTTTTGCTGTCTGTTTTTCTTTTCAATTGTCACGATCTTGATCTCAAATTCATTAATTAGGGCACAATAGGCGAGGTACTGGGGGTACTTTGAATGCTTATCCTCTTGATTTGTGTGTAATTCTGTATTGTAAGTTTGTATTTTGTAATGTAGTTTTTAGATCCCAAACAGCAAGAAGGTTAAGCTGGGACTCTACCAAAGCATATCATGCACTCCCTTTCCCATCCCAAGCATTAAGAAAAGTGTTCCAATGTGATCAAAACCTGTCTGGGATAAGAATGGATAATCTGAACAGTAGGTAAGGGCAAGAATCGGGGTCGAAGTGTGTTAAATGGGGAAGATCCTCAGTAGATGGTCAGTATCTCTCGGGAGGGGAAAAAGAAAAATCATACAAGGTTTTTGAGCTTGGACAGTAATACATGTCAGAAGGTGACCAGCCAAAAGGGTATAATGATGAAAATCTGGAAATAGGTGCCCTATCCTATCCTACTGCAGCTCTCAAAATTAGAACCAGCAGAGGACAGATTATTAATTGAATAAAAATGTTTTCTACCACTTGACACGCCTAATTAGTTGAATACTAATAATCCTTGTATTTGCTATATGGCTTATCATGTCACTGAGATGTCTCAAAGCGCATTGCACGATATACTATAAAGTGGATTGACTGTGTATTTTGGGTAAAATGTGGAGGCCATTTTGCACCCAACAATAGCCCACAAACAGCCATGGAGTGAATGACCAATTTTATTTGGGGGATTTGGTGGCCCAGGGCACCAGGAGAAACTCCCTTCTCCTTTTGAACTGTGCCGTGGGATCTTTAACCTGAACAGGCAGACAGGACCTAGGTTTAACGTCTCATCCGAAGGTTGGCACCTCCAACAATGCAACATCCCTCGCCCCCCAGCACTACACTGAGTGTCAGCTTAGACTATGTGATTCCAAGTCCCGACGTGGGGCTTGATCTCACAACCTTCTGACTCAGAGACGAGAACGCTACACTGACCAAGGCTAACACAAGATGTTTCTATTGACAAGATACGAATGGTGAGTAAACAGACTGTTATTTTCCACCTTTGCTATTAGGTCTCCATTCATGTTGCACTCGTTTTCTGCCACTCCTGTTCACCTAGTTCCTCACCTCACTTCCTAAGTTTAAAAAAAAACAGGTATCTCCACAAGTCACTGACTTCAGTCATTGACCTGTCCTCGCTAATCATAATCTTTTGTTTTCTATTGTCAAAGTAATTTTCTGTAGCTCAGACAAACAGAAATATTGCAAATTTCAACATTACATCATAAAACAAAAAATTACAGCATGTTGCCTGTTTTCTACCTGTGCCTTTTGTGTGATCAAATCCTTATCCAGTTGCTGTTTGAGTAGCAGAATTTTGCGATCCATGCAAATGTGTCTCTCTTCCTCGGATATTTGAATTTTCAAGAATCGGACTTCTTCGTTCAATCCATTCAACTCGAGATCACCATTTCTTAGCAATGAATCCTGAATGTTTACCTTCTCGTAGAAAATACAAACCTCCTCTTCTCTCTGAATCAACTGAATTCCTCTATATTCAAAGAAAAACATTGCACCGGAATATTATTTTTCTATTTTATCTACTAAATAAAATTGCACTGCATGACTATATGTGGAACATTGCTGTGCGCAAATGAGTTACTGTGTTTGCCTCCTATATATAGTCACTACATGTTACAGTGAATGCTGTGAAGTACTTTGAGACATCTTCCTGACATAAGAGGTGTATATCAAATGCAAGAATTATTATTATTATTTTCTCCTGTGCCTAATTTCATGTGTTCCTATTAAATATTACTACCAACTACTACGATAGCTTTGTAAATTAACCTTTGTATAATAATAATAATCCTTGCATTTGATATAGTGCTTTTCACGTCTTCTAGACGTCCCAAAGCGCTTCACAGAATATACTGTAAAGTGAATTGACTGTATATTTGTGGACGAACGCGGCAGCCAATTGCGCACAGCAATGTCCCACAAACAGTCGTAGATTGAAAATTCCTAAAAGTACTCCAAAAACATCCACTCATCAATCTTGTTCTTGTGGTTTTGTTTTGGGCTGTGAACAGTCATTTGAGAAATCCTGATGTCATCTATTAATTCTTCAGCTTAATATCATGCATAATTTTCCTCCTGTCCACCAACTATTGTATGTCTATTTGTCCTCTGATTAAAGGGCTATATTAATGTTAATCGTTGTGTTATGAAATGTTGGATTAACCTTTAAGACTAAAGATCATTGACAATTAAATAGACAATTAACTGGGAACCAATGATAGAAGACCAGGAAGTATAAGAAGGGATTGTGGGAGAACAACTAGTGTGGGTTTATAGCTGGAGTGATTTTGAGCAGAATAAAGGATTTACTTAATACTGTTCACTAGTGTTGTGGATTGAGAATCTCTACATAGAAATAGGAGTAGGCCATTCAGCCCCTCAAACCTGTTCTGCCATTCTATAAGATCATGGCTGATCTGTACCTAAAGTACAATTCTTCCCCCACCCCCATTACCCGTATCCCTTAATACCTTGTCCTAACAAATGTCTATCCGCCTCAGTCTTGAACGGATCCAGCATCCACAGCCTTTTGGGGTAGAGAGTTCCAGATTTAAGATGTCCAGTGAAGAAGACATCTACATGAAGCAGACATCTTATTCACTGCACCACTGGGTGAATTAGGGTGCCTCGTCTTGTCTTGCCTATCTAATTTAAAGTAAAATGGACAAATAGGTACATTTCATTCCATTCGTTAACTGTTTTTCCATTTTACCTTTCGTTGCGGTTCTGAACAGCCATTTCATATCGTTTCCGGAGGCGTACCATATCTGCTTCAGTCTGGTTGATTTGAGCACTGAGCTTTCCCATGTTCAGACTTTGTTCCTCCGTCTTCTCTCGCATCCTACTCAGCATTTCTAGGGTTTTGTTCATGGTTCTCCGCAAGCTATCTCGGATTACGTAGCTGTTAACTTGTAAAAGTTTCTCTTTCTGCAGTTCTCTGTGGGAGATAACACACCAGGTTATGCAGATTCATAACTTTTATGTCTCTAAATTCCATAATTTAACATTTTGGGGGCAGAATGCAAAACAAAGAACCAATTTTACATTTGTAGCAACAGAATATGCTTTGGGTTCAGTTTCTGCTCTTTGAGATTTTGTAATGCTGCTATTCATATTTTTTTGGGTTGTATATTAGTAAATGTACATTTAAGATAGTCACAGTGGGAAGCATGATATTTACTTTCCACTCAATTATGTTTTGCCTTTACCATTTTGAGCATAGCACATACCCAGAACTCTTAAAATTAGGTGTTAGTTTATATTAAATGATCCAAATTGTCATTGTATGACGACACTGACAGCTGAAAAGTAATCAGTTATGTATATTAAGGTACTACTGCCCTTTGGTGCCAAATGCCATATGGGCTTTAATCAATTTTGAGGTGCATTACTGTAATAATAATAATCCCTGCATTTAGTATAGCACCTTATCATGTCAGAAGGACGTCTTAAAACGCTTCACAGGATTTACTGTGAGCATATATGCATAGGCAAACGTAGCAGCACAACTGTGCACAGCGATGTCCCACAAACAGCCAAGAAACAAATGACCAATTTTATTTGGGAAATTGTTGGCCATAACACTAGGAGAAACTCTCTTCTCTTATCGAATAGTGCCCTGGGATCTTTATTCACCTGAACACGCAGAGGGGACCTTGGCTTAAAATCTGATCCATAGGACGACACCTACAACTATATTGGAGAGTCAGTTTAGACTACATGAGTTCAAGTCCTGACTTGAACCCATAACCTTCTGACTCAGAAGTGAGAGGGCAACCACTGAGCCAAGATGACACAATGTACTTCATTTAGATAGTGAAATTCTTCATTTGGAGCTGGTCTTATCTAAACGTACAACAACAACAACAACAAGATTCCATTTATAAAGCGCCTTCCACGTCAGGAGGACGTCCCAAGGCGCTGCACAGTTGGGTCATGACCCGAGCAGGGGGGAAATGGTCAGGGTGAGGGGAGGGAAGGGAGGGAGCGAGGAGGGGGGAAATGGTCAGGGTGAGGGGAGGGAAGGGAGGGAGCGAGGAGGGGGGAAATGGTCAGGATGAGGGGAGGGAAGGGAGGGAGCGAGGAGGGGGGAAATGGTCAGGGTGAGGGGAGGGAAGGGAGGGAGCGAGGAGGGGGAAGAGAGTCGAGAGGGGAGCTGAAGGCTCGGTCAAAGAGAAAGGTTTTGAGACCGGCCTTGAAGGAGGAAAGGGAGGAAGTGGCGAAGGCACTGGGGGATGGAGTTCCAGAGCCTGGGGGCTGAGAGGCTGAAGGCCCGACCACCGATGGTAGGTCGGTTGGGGCGGGGGACGTGGAGCAGACCAGAGCCAGAGGAACGGAGGGTACGGGCAGGTAAGTAGGGGGATAGTAGGTCGGAGAGGTAGGAGGGAGCAAGGCCGTGAATGGCCTTGTAGGTGAGGATGAGGATCTTGAAATCAAAACGTACTTGGTCTTATCGTATGAATTATTTCTGCGAAGTTCCAATTCTAACGTTATAGCTTTGATGTTTTCAGTAAGTTCTTCAATTTTCAGTGATGCAGCGTATGTGAGATTAACATACTTATTTCTCTCATTCTTGATGAACTGATACGCTTTAGCGAATTCTCTTAGCCTGAAACACAAAGCGCAATTGGTATTAATTGCCCGGGCTAAAGTAGCAGTTAATAACCATAAAGCTCTTACTGAAAACGTACTTCAGCATTCTTTCAACACTTTCCCACCTAGTGTTTACATCTGGAATATTGTCCTGGATGTAGCAATAACAAGCGCTCCGAGACAGTTTAAGGCTAGTCAATGATACAGATAGCGGTAAAGCTATTTTCAGTCTAATGATAATTCCTAGCACCAGACATAGAATTTGCCTCTTGGATCTGGGTAACCCTGGGCAGCTTCAACATTGCATTTCTGATATTCCCTACAAAAGGAAAGTAATCTGAGCGGGGAATGTACTGTGTTGCCCTTGTGTCTTGAAATATACTGAGGTCAAAAATAGAAATCATGCCACTCCTTGGGAATCCTGCTCCGCAAATAGGTTTCATCGAATCCCAATTCCAGGGGTTAGTGTGATGTACCTCAGGTTACACACTTCCAAACGTTCCAATTCCCAGACTCTTATTCCTTATTGATGATTTTTTCGAAATCCTGCATTTTACATCTCATTGTATCTTATATTATTTCAGTAATCTTTTCTAGCAATAATTCATATAGTCTAGTAATGCAGATTTTCGTTTCACATACATTTAACGTTAAGCATATTTTCCATAGATTTGCGGTAAGCTAAAGGTAGCAGCAAATCTAAAGATATGACCAAATCCATCTGTAAATTGCAATGTACATCAAAATTTTTAACAATATACTTAGGGCTTCCACTTTTCAATTTTTATTTCAAATTATTAATAAGGACTCTACAAAAAAAAGTATTTGATTCAAAGGAACTCAGGCCTTTAAGGACAGACACCAGGAAGTATTTATTTCCCCAGAGGGTAATCAATGACAGGGAACATGTTTTTAGGAAGGGAGGTCAAAGCTTGGATCCTGGAAAACAATAAAAAAAGACATTTAAAAAAAACAGCTTGGTTTTCTGGAAGGATGAGATGCAATAGACCAAAACGCCTTCTTCATCTGAACCAATCTTGATATCTTATGATTTACTCTTTTTTTTAGTTTGAAGATGGAATAATTGTTGTTTCTCTATCTGAGGCAACAAAACAGTTTCTTTCTATATTAATTGTTTACAGCAGAAAGTCAGACAAGAGTCAGCAAAACCCCCCACTAATTTCGGTGCATTTTAGAGCTCTCACAGTGTTTATGCTGGTTTGGGACCGATTTCCAAAACACAAACATCATACCAGCACACACACAAACATTTTACTGCCATAACCACAAACAGGCACAAACACAAAATACATCCCTAAACTTTTAAGGAATAACATTTTTTTAAAAAGTTGTGCTGTTATTGCCTTTCTTGTCTACTACCGGAAAACATTCTACATATTTAAAGTTTTAGTGGCTAAGTTAATAAACTTCTACAGTTTTGTCAGAATAAATAATTAAATATTTATTTAAGACCAAGCACTGTAACACAAACAAAATATTAATGTTCACATGGATAGTTCCCTCCAATATTTAAAAATAATCCAAATTTGATTTTTTAACAGGTCAATTTGACCTAAAATAAAAAAAGTAATGCAATGGTCTGAGACATCCTGCAATTTTTCATCACAACAAATAGACTTGCAGTCTTTGAACAGATAAAAACTACAGTGAATTCAAAATGGGGGTTAACACCCACCAATCTGTTCATAACCCATTTATAATAGGACGTGCTATTGTTATTTTGCAAAGTTGGCTTGTGTTAAAACCCAAGGGCTTGGGCTGAAAGGCAGAAAGATTCCTACTTCGTTTGTGAATCTAAGAATTTCTTCTGATAGCTTTCAAACGCGAGATCTTTCTCCCTCTTCTCTTCTTTGGATTGTTCATATCTATGCTGTTTTAAAAAGAATATAAAATTATATAAACAAAATAATTCAACAGACTTCATACCCCCACCTCGAGTCAAGCCAGTAGTATTTTGGGATGTCCCCCCAACATGAAAGGGACTCTATATATATATCCATGTAAATTTGTTTTGTATTTTACTACCATATTCAATATTTGACAATATTTCACTTTGCTTAAGTGAATGCTTCAGTCATCATTTTATAGTATATCTGCCAATCATTCTTGTTTACCACCTTCATTGGTATGTAGGTTACATAGAGTGTACAACATGGAAACAGGTAATTTGGCCCAACCAACCTCTGCCAAGTCTCAGATACTCCACAAATCTCCACCATTCCTCCCCCTCCCAGTCCTTAGGCAAGTATTTCAGTAAATCCCCTGGGGATCACATATTCATATTACTCATATACCAAGTTACAGTGTTGTTATGCTATGCAACTATCACATACAAGCTTGACCCTGTTCTCACCTGACATCCGATATCCATCATGAACACCGGATAAAGACCAGATATGAGAATCAATCCAGTTGAGATCTGATAACAATAATAATCCTTGCAATTCATAGGATTGATAGACGTCTTCGAGACATCTCAGAGCACTTAACAGAATAAACTGTTAAGTTAATTGACTGTATATTTTGTGGGCGAAACTCAGGAGCCAATTGCACATAATAGTGTTCCACAAACAGTAGTGGATTGAGTGAAACAATTTATTATTTTTTTTGAAGGAATTATTACCCCTGGAAAAGTGATCCACCAATCGACTAACCACTAGGCTCCTAACTTACTGCTAGGTGACTAGATGCGTGTGGAATAAGAAAACTTGCCCAACGTTTTGCCCTGGCCGGGAATCAAACCCAGGTCTTCTCACTTGCGATGTTGGTTAACCAATGAACATCGGGGAGTTCAAACCCTGGATTCATTTAAAAAGCAGCTTAATGCTGTGATGCGAGGACAGAAGGGTGCGTATTCTGGAAGGTTGAGATTGGATGGGCCGAAGGCCTTTCTTCATCCAAAACAATCTTGTGATATATCTTTGACTGTTGAGAAACGAACAATTGAAAGTTACCTGAGTATTCATAAGATCTCTTGCTTTTTGGTCCTTTTCATCATTCCTGATGTGGGAAAGGCGGGCTAGGTTTAAAACTTGCTCAACGGCAATCCTTTGCTCTGCAAGGAGTTGATCTTCTTCAACAGTACACTGATGTAACAAATGGGTCTCCAGTTCAGTCAGTGAAAGCTGTAAATTAAATAGGACTGGTATATTAATCACTTCAGAACACTATAAACAGATTTGATTTTCATTTCCAATAAAAATTGGGACACTTTCCTCAAGCAACCTTCTTGTGAAGCATCTTTAACCTCCACCCGAATAGGCAGACAGGAATTCGGTTTAACCTCTGACAATGCAGCACTCCTCCAGCATTGCACTAAAATGTCAGCTTGTACTCCGAGCTCAAAGTCCCAGTGGGGGACACGAACCCACCATGTTTCAATTCAGGTTCGAGCTGGAGAATGCTACCAACTGAGATCCATGTTTGACTGTAGCTAAATATGATACTGATTTTACTCGGTCAAATCCAACATAGAAATGCTGCTTGCAGGATGTCAAGTGAAACGCTGGTAGGCATCACAGTTTTCTAAAAATAGCTTTAAACAAATTATTTTGGGGGGCATCAACCAGGTGTCTGAACGCCTATAGAAACTCAACACTGCTTAAGAGTATACAAACCAAGTTGAGAATTCCATGCATTCCACCTACACATGGAAATTCCAGAGATAGATTGTTGGAATGCATGGAGGGATGAATCCTGCTTACCTAATTCCCGGAAACCATTGGGTGTAGGTTGGCAAGAGCCAAGGCTTGGGGACCCCAGAGTTTGTGTTGGGATAACTGCTGGAGTCTAACCAGCTTGCCATTGATATCGCTATTATAAAATAGATTTAATGATAATTATTGCATGAAACACCATCATTTTCACCCAATATTCTCAAAATGTCAAGATATCTGTTAGACATATTGTTACAACTTACCTATAATAGAATATTCCTTACATTTGACATAGCGCTTTTATAATATAATAATAATCCTTGCATTGGATATAGCGCTTTTCACGTCTTCTAGACGTCTCAAAGTGCTTCACAGAATATACTGTAAAGTAAATTGACAATATATTTGTGGGTGAAATGCGGCAGCCAATTGCGCACAGCAGTGTGCCATAAACAGTTGTGGATTGAAAATGACCAATTTATTATTGTTTTGGAGGGATTATTATTAGGTGTGTGGAGTAAGGAAACTTGCCCAAGGTTTCACCCTGCCTTGTGCGGTTCACATCCACACATATGAAGAGACATTAAGGGACTATGTTGTAAGGATGCACACGGTCAAGATGCCTGCCTTGAAGTTACTTCCTGCCCAGGAAATGAAGTTAAGAACAACCATCTTTACTATGCTCCTACCTTATTTATTTAATGACCAAGTTATTATTGGGTTTTTTTGAGGGATTATTATCAGGCATGTGGAGTAAGGAAACTTGCCCAAGGTTTCGCCCAGCCGGGAATCAAACCCAGGTCTCTCGCTTTCGAGGTGAGTGCTCTAACCACTGAGCTACAGGACTCCTGTTCGATCATGTTACCTGTTCGATCATATTTTTTTTCAGCGTTTTGACTTCACTTTGCAGTTCATTTCTCTTTTCCAGCATTGTCCCGTCGTCCTTAGGCAAAATACCGGCCTGAAACCGAAACAGCATTGAATTTTTTTTAAAAAATCTCCAACAACAACTAATTCCATTTATATAGCCTCTTTCAGGAAGGATAGCATCTTGGAGAATAAGCTGGGAAATCTCTTTTAATAGCTTTTATACATATTTGAAGAAACCTAAAATACTATATTAAGTATGTCTCAGATTTGATTCCAGTTCCTCCTGCTCAATACTGTTGTTGCCTTTTTGGATTTAATGAATAGTTTGTTGCATTACCTCCAGCAGAACTGGAGTATTAGGTGACAGGTGTATATATTTTGTGTTTAGGGCACAAAATATACAGTCAATCTACTTTACAGTATATCCTGTGAAGCGCTTTCAGACATCTTGAAGATGTGATAAGGCACTATATCAAATGGAAAGATTAATATTTAGTATAGATCTGCAGACCTTTACATAACAATAATAATAACAATCCTTGCATTTGATATAGCACCTTTCACGTCGGGACAATATCTCAAAGCATTTTACAGAATTTACGGTAAAGTGTATCAACTGTGCCTTTTATAGTGAATAAAAGGAAATAATAATAATAATAATAATCCTTGCATTTGATATAGCGCTTTTCATGTCAGGAGGACATCCCAAAGCGCTTCACAGAACACACTGTAAAGTGAATTGACTGTATATTTGTGGGCGAACGCGGCAGCCAATTGCGCACAGCAATGTCCCACAAACAGTCGTAGATTGAAAATGACCAATTTATTATTGTTTTTGGTTTTGGAGGGATTATTATTAGGCTCTGTGTGGAGTAAGGAAACTTGCCCAAGGTTTCGCCCTCTGCCTGGAATTGAACTCAGGTCTCTCGCTTGCAAAGCGAGTGCTCTAACCACTGAGCTACAGGACTCCACAAACTTGAATCAAACTTGAATAACTGTTCATTTGGAATAAACACCCCAGATAATGTTTAATTAATGTTCCAATGTTCTCAAGCCATTTCCAACACTACAAATAAGAATTACAGCTGCCTTCTGCTTCCAAAAAGGCAAAAATGTCAAACCATGCCACGCTACAATAGTTTGCATCATGGGAATAAGACAAAAACTCGCATTTCGGTCTTAAATAACTATCTAAAGGCTTCTGGTGTGATTTTCTTTCAGAGTTGAGAATCTGAATTAATCATTTCTAATGCTTACAGCGATCATGTATTAGCCAAACAGCTCTAAGCAATGGTGTATACATTTACAAAAAGAAAAGGTCTATTGGAAAATTACCTGTGATTTTACCCTGTTGTACATCATTTTTATGTGATCCAGTGTTTCGTTTGTAACCTTTAATTGTAGCTCTTTCTTCTTTAAATTTCGAATAAATCGATCCTTTTCTCTTCCTGTCTGTAAAAGTGCATCCTTCAATGTCTTCCTATCCATTTGGATGTGGCGTAGTTTTAATTCCAGGGAAGCTCTGTTAAAAATGAGTACATGTACATAATAAGGCTGATTCTAGGGGTCAAGCTCCAACAATAGAAAAGAATCTAACAATGACAATACATTAACTGAAGAGTAAGGCAGCTTCAAAACTGGACTCAGGTACAAGTAGGCATTTTGCAAACATGTTTAAAGATTGCAAAAAATTGCATGTACAAACCAAACTCGAAAGAAGTGAGACATGTCCTTTAAACAAACGTGCTATTCATTGCCCACTTCCCCCACAATTAGTGGAGACGGCAACATTAACCACTCTTGCTAATGTAAAAAACAATGCACAAATGAACTCAAAGAAATCTTATACATTAATATCCTGAGAAGTTACAATATTCAGTACAAACCTTTCTCCCATTAATGCAGATTCGGTGTCTTTATATAGTTCACTTATCTTAAGTGCCTGGTTGATCTCTCTTTCTTTGGTGTCCTGCATAACCCTTTTTCCCTCCAACTCTTTCATTATTGTTATCCTCTCATCCTCGGTCATTCTAGACTTTTGATCAATTTGTTTTAAAGAGACAGCAATTTCATGGATTTCGTCATCAAACTCAGCTTTCTTCTTCTCTAAATTGCTAAGAATAAAAGGAACAGGTTCACTGTCAAAATTGCAAATAATATTTGGTATTATCATTAGTGTGGTTCAATTTTCGAAAAAAATCTAAAGAAAGACTGAGATTAAATTTCAGATCTGCTCATTCTAGCTCAGTAACAAGCAGCATCAGACATTAGCAAAACCCAGATGAGAAACTAAAGGAATTAAGGCCAAAACATTCTTTCTATTAAAAAAAAGTAGTGAATACTGCTTAATGTTACTTTTGAAGAAACATTTACAAAATTACATTAGCATCTAGCTTTGCTAAAAATTGCTTGTGAGTAATGCATTTTTTTTTAGTTTAACAAAAGTACAGCAGACAAGGATTTGGACCTGAGCAAGGGGTTGGGATCAGGAGGGTGGAGGATAGGAGGGTGGCCAAAGGTGCAGTCGAAGAGGAGGGTCTTGAGATGTGTCTTGAAGGAGGCAAAGGAGGGCCGAGGCGACCGGACTGTGGGATGGAATTCCAAACGGTGGGGGCAGAGACGCTGAAGGAGCGGACAGGTTGATAAGGGGTTAGCAGGTCACAGACCCATTCGTATATGTTCCTAGCATCCACATTCACAGTTGCCCTCCAGTACCCAGGGCGGCCATTGTCCATGTGGATGCCTGGGTAGTGAGTGTTGGTACACCACTTGACTCTAGAGGAGGTCACATTCAATCCTGACCTCTCCATCCAACTGTCACACACTTGTACAATCAGTAGTTGGGGGTAGTTTCAACGGACCAGGAGCAGATACCTTGGCTGTTTTTCCATCCTTAACCCTAGGTTGGCTGGGCAATTTCACCTCCCTGGCACATCCAGCTGAGCCCAGCAAACTCAGTATAATTATCTCGTTTGCAATTTGTATTCCAATATTTTATTACTTCACTTTCAACCATAACCATTTAATAATTAGAATATTTAAAAAAAAACTTACATTTTTCTCCGGTTAATTTTCTCCATATCTTTAGATAGCTGTCCAGGAATAGATTGCAGTTCGGCCACGTCACCCTATCGATAGGAAGAGAAAAGAGAGAAAAATTGCATTGGGATACAATTTGGGTCATTATAACAGAAATGCTGGATTTCAACAGCAAGTCAGTCAATAACAACTTGCACAGTGTGTCACTTAGGATAAAGGTTGCAAAGCACTTTATAACAATGGTGGGAATCACTAAACAGGGTGAAAAAGAGGGGGAAAACTGAGATTTTTACAATTTGAAAGATAAAAATGTAGTAGCTATAAATCTTTTTGTACCCCTACCCCCCTATTCTGCCATATATCTTGTTTTGTAAATGAGCCATAATTCAGATTCTGAAAAACTGTGCAGACGGATACAACTAATACATATTCTACACGCTTTTTTGTAATAAAATCCACCTTCAAATATACAGCATACAGTTTGGGACACAACATGTCAAGCGACTGCCAGGATGGTAAAGGCGAACTAGATGGACCTTGGTCTTCTTTCGCCTAGCAAATTCTTTAGTTCATATGTATGTTCTTATGTTCAAACCTTTCGCACCCGGATAGAACAATAAACTCCCAAACCTCCACCCCTGCAGCTCTTGGACAAATAGGTTCACACAGCCCCTTTCTAAAATTGTATTGTTTCTTTCAGATGTTGATTGACCTGCTGATTTTCAGCTTTTCTATCTTTGTGTCAAATTTTCCACATATTTTGGCATTTTAACATTTTTATTTCTAACAAATTGTGTGGTTTCTGGAAATGACTTGATAATCAATAGGTAGCATTCTCACCTCTCGAGTCAGGGAACTGTGGGTTCAAGCCACTGCACATTGGGACTTTGAAAGTCTAGGCTGTCACTCCAATGCAGGGCTGAGGGTGGGAGAGCCAAATTTATTGCTATGTTTGCCTACAATACTATCACCTTGCTTGACGTCCTCCCGACGTGAAAGGCGCTCTATAAATGGAATCTTGTTGTTGTTGACAGAAAACCCTTTGAGACGTTTTGACATTATAAAGTGCTATATCACATATAATAATCTTTATCATTGTAATAAAACCAAACCTTTATCTGAAGATCGTTATTGTCCTTGGGGTCAACAACTTCAGGTTTATTATTGAATTTGATAAGAGTGCCTATAATGTTTAAATGTCTCAAAGTCCTTCCGATTTAATTGATAGTGTCTACAAATAATCCGGCAGCCAGTTTGCATGCAGTAATGTTTCACAAACCACCATTCAGGTCAGCGAGTGACTAATTTACTTGCAAGATTGTTGTCCAGAGTACTAGGAGAAACTCCCATCTCTTTTCAACGATTATCCAGACCCATTGATCATTCATTTTATGTCTGTATGTAGGTCTGTGGGATCTTGCTGTGTGCAATCACATTGACTGCTCCTGTACAGTCCCATATTACTAATAGGATTGTTCACTACTATGGTTAGAAAGTGGAAATTTAAATAATACATTCTAGGTTAACTGTTAAATGAAGAGCTCTTACTTGCAGTTGTTCCTCTATTTCAAGTTTCCCCTGTAGTTCTTTTTGTCCATCTTCAATTTGTTTATTTTTGATCTCGATGTCTTCTTTTAATATCCTGACCATCCGTTTTTTGTGAGTAATCTCCTTACGAAGATCTTCACAAGCTTCTTTCATTGCTTTGGCTTTTTTCTCAAATTCCTGCAAAAAATCAGTCAAACAATAAATAGGATTTCCCCATTATTATTATTAAAGATGGTTGTTCTTAACTTCATTTCCTGGACAGGAAATAACATCAAGGCAGGCATCTTGACCATGTGCCTCCTTACAACATGGTCCCTTGATGTCTCTTCATATCTGTGGATGTGCACCACACAAGGCAGGGTGAAACCTTGGGCAAGTTTACTTACTCCACATGCCTAATAATAATTCTGCCAAAACAATAATTGGTCATTTTCATTCCACTACTGTTTGTGGGACACTGCTGTGCGCAATTGGCTGCCGTGTTTTGCCCACAAATCTATGGTCACTTCACTTTACAGTATATTCTATGAAGCGCTTTGAGACGTCTAGAAGACGTGAAAAGCGCTATATCAAATGCGAGGATTATTATTATTCCCATTATTAACTCTGCTCCTCACATCCTTATACACAAGAAACTTGCATGTCTATTCCTCCCGTCCTTGTGAAGTTGCACAGTCTCCCAGAGGACTGACTTCAAGATTCTCTCTGCCACGCACAAATCCTTTGCTCCCTCGCACCTCTCTACCGCTGTGATCTTCTCCAGCCTCATTCTCCTGCTTGCCCCACCTCTGCTATGCAAGTGCTCCGAGGCTCTGCCCCTCGTGAAGGGCATTATATAAATGCAATTTTTTGTTGTTAATGTTGCATTCCAAGATTCACCATCACCATCTGAGCTTTCAGTCATGAAACCCTCAACCTCTGGAACCCTTCCTTCAACTCTTCTGTCTTGTCCCCATCTATCTGCCTTCAAAAGCTGCCTTAAAATCTCTTTGACTGTGCCTATGGTCAACTTTGTTCTCACTCCCCACTCCCGGCTTCATATCCTGTCCCATCTCTGTAATCGCTCAGAGCAGTTACTATACATGGAGGGCACCTTATAAATATTAGTTATCTTTGTTAATTTTGTTGTTGAAATCATTTGAAGTGATGTACTATGAAACGGCTAGGTTTCAGAACTCACAGAAACTTTAGGTTGTTTCTCCAATTCACTTTCAAACACAGTTTTTTCTTCTGTTAAACTGAAAAAAAAGTAGAATCAATTAAAAGTAACATTAAAATCTAAATAAAAGCATCAAGAATTATTAATCACAATTCTTAAAATTATAATATTCTTACAGTGACGTGTTTAAAACAAATACAAGCCAATAGTCCATGAATATTCACCCATGAAATACACAGTCAATTCACTTTGGAATATATTTTATAAAGCACTTTCAGACATCTGAATGATGTGATAATGCACTATATCCAATGCAAAGATTATTATAATATGACAGCAGAGGAATATGTCTTTTAGAGCTTTAATTGGTATTTCAGAATTTAATGGTCAATGATTTACAATTAAACATCAATTAATTTTAACAGCTGTTCAAAGAACCATCTTGCTTCAGGTGTTGATTGTGCTGTAATTCAGGAACACAAACGGACAGTTCTTTTTACTTATTGACTTTTATAGGTGGAAGTTGGCAGTCTGCATTGTCCATAACTTGTGAAGGCAATTAGAAAGACAAGAATAAAAGACAAACCTCCAGAACCACTCAGTGAAAGCGAGTCTGCTGAGGACCAGGATAGAATTATTCCAGTTGGAGTGATGGTGAAGAATTCCTGGGCTATAGCCCTGATCAGACGCTGTCCAATACCACTAACTGGATTTAGGATTACACTGTTTAATCCCAATTACAGTGCATTGAAAATTCATTACTAAATCGAATATAAACTGACCGTAAAGCATTTTCCTAACATTCACATTAAGAGATCTTTCTTAAGAGTACATATGAATGGCTCTAACAACAACAACAAATAATAATAATAATCCTTGCATTTGTTATAGTGCTTTTCACGTCGGGAGGACGTCCCAAAGCGCTTCACAGAACACACTGTAAAGTGAATTGACTGTATATTTGTGGGCAAACGCGGCAGCCAATTGCGCACAGCAATGTCCCACAAACAGTCGTAGATTGAAAATGACCAATTTTTATTTTTTGGGTTTTGGAGGGATTATTATAAGGCTCTGTGTGGAGTAAGGAAACTTGCCCAAGGAATCGCCCTGCCTGGAATTGAACTCAGGTCTCTCGCTTGCAAAACGAGTGCTCTAACCACTGAGCTACAGGACTCCTAATACAAATACATTTGTATAGCAGCTTTCACGTCAGGAAGACCTCCCAAGGCGCTGGATAATCAGGGAGTCAGGGATCCGCACCTGAGCTGGAGGTTGTGATCAGGAGGGTTGGAGATTGGGGAGGGATGCTTAATATTCTTAATATCTTGATATATTTTTAATATCAGATTTCAACATGCCTTCCTGTGTACTAACTTTGCAGAGAATTCCTGACATCTCTGTAATTCAATTACATTTTTGCAGGAAAAATTGGATATAACATTTCATCTCTCCAGTGCTCAGCTGTGTTTTCTTTTTCGGTGACAAGGCTCCACTTGGCACCAAAACTAAATTAATCATAATGTGGAATATTCGAAGCAGACTAACATGACAGTTTTTTGAACTTCATTTTTGTTTACTTAGAAAACCTTTTCCAGAAAGTTACACAATTTAAAACGTAACCAGGAAGCTATATTTGCTTAAACACCAAATATATGTGCACTTGTGTTTTCCAATAGGATTGCTGATATGCTTAGAAGTACAGTACATTAGTTTCAAGCATCTGGTATCACTATTTTACTTGTCACTGGACACTCAACATGGTGTTCTGAGAAAACAATATGTATACATCCTCAAATAATTCAAAGAATAAAGACAAGTCAGTATTTACAGGAACTGCTATTATGTATTTTTAAAAAAATCTTACTTATGATTTCCTGCGACTGTGATTGATAAGTTGCCAAAATTATAAATTCAAAATAACTATTTTCCAAAAATGTAATCAGAACACTGTTTAATACCACAAAACTTCATATGCCCATCATCCCAGTTCTTACCAGGCTTAACTAGCTCCCATTGGATTGATTTCAAGGTGCTCACCCTCACCTACAAATCCCTCCATGCCCTATTACCTCCCTATAGCCCTTCTCCTACCAAACTCCTCTGCTTGCCCCCTCTCCTTGGCCAACTTGGGCTTGCTGCACATCTCCTGGTCTCTGTTTCTTTAGTTTTTAAAAAAAGCATAAGAAAACTCCAAAGAACTACCAAACCTCACTTCATTACTTGTGAGTAGGTCCCATAATTTGAGTTCAGGTAAAACACAAAATCAAAATAACACAAGAACCAACAATTCTTAAAATAACTAAATTCAAAATGTAAATGAAAAATATGTTTCCTTCATTGAAAAAGGCATCATATCAAGCTTATTGAAAACACTGAACTGTAGGATTTGTGGAAATTTCTATGATAGTTGCCTGCTAGAAATTCAGTATAAATCCCCTTTTCCAAGAAGACATCAAGGAACTGTTTTTTGCAGCACTTCAATTTTTCCTGCTGCAATATTAACACAGTGGATGGAAATCTACCAGGCCGATTTCGCAAGTAATACTAGCTATGGATATATTCACAATAAAGTATGTTAGTCAGAAAGTAGATCTGAGAATTAATAATTGTGTGTTGCAATAACACCAGAATACATTGAAAATATTTATTTTTTTCAATTTTAATTTTTCAATTAATATGGTGTACGTAGACTGAGAATGAACATTTATTTTCATTTCAACACATAGTTTAGGGCTCTTGCTGTGGTTTCTGCCATTCTACTCTACTTCAGTCTCAAGTGGTTATATGATGGACGAAGGTGCCATATTAAAATTGCACAATACATTTGATACATAAGTTTGTAATCCATCATCATGATCCAAATATTTTAGAATAGCATTTTGCTTTCCCCCAACGTATTACATTGCACCTATAATGAAATGTTCAATGTTTATAAATACACAAAATATCGTAGGACATTTGTCCCTCAATATCATGTGGTACTAGAATTAATACACAATCTATACATTTATCTTGACTTTACATAATTGGAAATGAAATTCAGGAAAAGTTCAAATTTCGTCCAAATCAAAGATACTTTTTATCATCTATAATTCTCTCCACCAAACCTGAAGTGCTGCATGTTCAACTATGAACTAAAGCCTTTTACAGTCTGAGTCATAAATTCTTCTGCCTGAAAACATACAGCTTGGTAAAAAGCAAGCATTGATCTTAAAGCCATAGTTTGAGATCTGTCCAATGTTCTGACCTTTCTTTGACAGTTCATCTCCACTATTCAACAAATGTGTTTTGTGTAGTTGGGAGAAATTGCCTTTTGTTTGGTACCGATCCAAGTGAGTTTTTGCAACAGTTGCATTTGTTGTTTTGTTGTCTAGTACCAAACTGCTGATAAAGCAACCAAACCATAACCGTGCACAGCAATATCATACAAACAAGTGGAGTGGAGCAATGACATCTCTAGGGTGCAGAACGTTTCAAGAAAATATTTAGTCCAACATAACTAGTAAGTGAAATTTCTTGTAAAAGCTTAAACTGATTTTTTTCGTATCAACTAATGTTATGTTCTATTTGCATCCTTAGGAAAGTTTCGATTCCTTCTTTCATTATTAATCAATACAATAGTTAGAAAGGGACATATCCTCTTTTTACAATCTTTCAGTTTTATAGTTAACTACTCTTTGCTGACCAGACTCTCTGGTTTGTTTCCAGAAAAGGAGTCCATATGCAAGTTAAAGAAAAAACAAAGGAGAATCACAAAAAATAGTTTAGTAAATAGATGGAAACTCCATTTTAGCTCCTTTTGATAGTGCTGGACTCACTGTAGTGCAGGTCTATTGTGGATCCAGGAAAGTGAAATGGACCTTGGTGGTGATAATTCTTCTTTAATGGATTATGTGGACAATCTTCATTCTATCCTCAAGTTTACAAAGACATTAATTATTACTTGGATGTCAGCCTGGCTCATTTGCTATCACCTTTTGAGTCAGAAGGTTGTGGGTCCAAGCTCCATGTCAGATCTTTGAACTCAGGGTCTAGGATGACACTCTGATGCAGTCCTGGGGGAGATGTTAAGCCCGGGCATGTTGAGTAATAACATTCAATTCAGTTGAACGTTAAAGTTCCCATGGTACTACTCAAAAGCGCAAGGGAGTAACTCTCAGTATGCTGTTCAACAATTCCCAGATAAAATTGTTTTTTCACTTCATGACTGTGTTTGTGGGAGATTGCTGTGTAGAATGGCTACAAATTTACAGTGCATCCTGTGAAGCAGTTTGAGCCGCCTTGGTGAATTGATGAGGTACTATATCAAATGCAAGAATTATTATTATAATCACTGTCTATGATGACAGACAACATTTTAATGTTGAATTTGAGATTTAGTAATATGAAAGTTCTCCAGCACTTTCAGTGAAACAAAAACCTGAACAAACGTCACCAACTAAAATTGAGCAGGTGAAATGAACTCTTCCTACCTTTTGATTTTATACTGCTGCTGATACACCCGATCTTCTTTCTGGGCCAGATCATTCTCACAATCAAGCAGCTGTCGTCTCAGTTTGCTGACCTCAGTGCTGTAGCTCTCAGGAAAGTGGTCAGCTTTGTCCAGTTCATTCCGCTGATAATCCAATTCAGCAGCATAGCGCTTGGCTTCTTGCATTAATTGGATCTCAGACTCTTGTGCACTGCAGATACAATGGAGAATTTCAGTTAGAAAACTATTCACATGAAAGGTGACATTATGGACCTGCGATGCACTACCTTACACGCATTTTTCCATATATTCTGATTACAAAAGAGTACCGTAATTTTTTAATACCTTTTCTAGAATATCAACCTATCAGGATTGTGGAAGAAATAAAATGGAAGCATATCCAAACAGCCCAAAATGTGTGACCAGATACACTGGTCAGAATTGGTGTTTCAAGAATGTCGCACAGTTTAATCTCATGCTAAGGAACCAAACTAGTGAGACCACCACAGAGAGCTGGGCTCAATTCCAACATTCTGTTGCCAAGAGTGCCTTGTTGGAGCCAGTTCAGCTCCAAGGAGACCCTGCTTAATGGCAAATTATGTGGTTTTAGCTGGTTAGACTATAGCAGTACCCCAAAGCAGATTCTGGGGTCTCCAAGCCTTGGCTCTTGCCAACCTGCGCCTAATACTTTCCGGAATTAGGTAAGCAGGGTACTTCCCTCCAGGGAGAGAGAGTGCTCATTCCCATCTAACAATCTATCTCTGGGATTTCCATGTATAGGTGGGATACATGGAACACTCAGTTTGCTATCAATACTCTGAAACATGGTAAATGGGTTTTGCCTAGATTATTCTTGCAAAGGCTAGAGGAAGAAAATATTTTCTAGGCAGTGTGAGGGCAGGTGTGCAACCCCAAATCTGTTGTTAAGGATGCATTTATGGTCATGTGATAATTATTATATCACATTCCACATTTCTACTAACCTTTTGTGTATTGATTATCAATGGCAAACATCACTGTACCTTTTTAAAGTTTCATGTAACAATGTGTATTTGGATTTCAAAAGGGCGAGATGCGTTCCTGAGAGTTTTTGTTCATTAAACAGCTGCAAAATAGAAAAGAAACTTACATTTTCCTAATAATACATCATTGTTTTTAGTTTAAAAGAAATAGTTTCTGATTGCATACCACCAAGGCAAAGATCTACCTATGTCATTGTTTTTCACAATATTTAACCAGTATTAATGATGAGAAAAATATTAACATGTCTAATTTTAGTGGTTTGTGACACATCAAAGGAGTTCCAAGAGAGTTATTCTGCTCAATTCATTAGGTGTAGCAGATGTTGTGGTGTCACTAACAAAGGGAAATTCCAATGAAAGCACATATTGAAAGCTTTGCTACACTTTGCGAACAAGAGTAGAATAACCCCATAGGGAAGACACATTCTTGTGCTTCTGATACAGGAAAATATCATTTTTAAATGTTAAATGTTAAATGATGCAATACGCCCCAATATGTAATACGCTCCCTGACATTTCAACCCAAATCTAATCCGAATTGAATGGAGCCATTTGATTGCTGTTTGTGTTATTAGTTTAAAAACTGATCTTGACTTGCTTGTTCCATTGTAACTGTAAATTATTTTTCAGTTATTTTTCAGTTACCAAATGACTAATATCATTAACATTTGCTATGTAGAAAACAATGATCTTTACATCAGATTTTGCAGTAGGTTTTCTGTGGTAGCAGCATTGATCATCTCACTAGTATAGTGCCCAATTGATATGTGCTGAATTTACAGTTAGTCAATTCATGACTGGATTTAGGGTAAAAATAATGCATTAAAGATAATAAAAAGGGGAAAACTTATTAAATAGTTATCACTATCCAGCCTTGACGTTGGTTGCTATTGTTTCTGCACTTGAGACGGTGCAGAAGAGCGCGACAAGAATGATCCGGAATACTAGAGGAATGATCTGTGAGCAACAATTAGACAAGTTGGAGGCTCTACAGCTTTAAAAAGAGATATCTCACAAGGGACATTATAGATGTATTTAAGATTTTAAATGGAATGAGCAAGTAAATCCAAAACCCCATATTCATATATGCCACAGCAGCAGAACAAGAGGCCACAGATTCAGGACAAATATGACTTTACACAGAGAACATAAGAACATAAGAATTAGGAGCAGGAGTAGGCCATTCGGCACCTCTAGCCTGCCCCGCCATTCAATAAGATCATGGCTGATCTATTCTAACTCCACCTACCCGCCTTATCCCCATATCCCTTAATCCCTTTATCCACAAGAAATCTATCAATCTCAGTCTTGAATATGTTCAAGGACTGAGCATCTACAGCCCTTTGGGGTAGAGAATTCCATAAATTCACTACCCTCTGAGTGCAGACATTTTTCCTCAACTCAGTGCGAAAGGAATCACCCTGAATTTTAAGACTGTGACCCCTGGTTATAGTTTCTCCAACCAGGGGAAAAAGTCTCCCACTATCTATTCTGTCGGAATAATCTTATAGGTTTCTATAAGATCACCTCTCATTCATCTACATTCCAGAGAATATAGGCCTAAATTGCTCAACCTATCCTCATAACTCATCCCCCTCATCCCTGGTACCAACCTAGTGAATCTACATTGTACCCCCTCCAAGGCGAGTACATCCTTTCTTAAATAAGGAGACCAAAACTGCCCACAATACTCTTGGTGCGGTCTCACCAGGGCCCTAGACAGTTGAGCAAGACTTCCCTACTCTTATATTCTAAACCTTTTGTAACAAATGCCAACCTACCGTTAGCCTTCCTAATTGCTAATTAATTGTACCTGCAAACTAACTTTTTGTGACTGGAGTACAAGGACACCCAAGTCCCTCTGAACACTAACACTAGAGAGTAATTACAGACTGAAAATGACCGAGAAGGGTCGTTGAGCCCATGATACAGGACACTCATTTATGAAACAGCTTCATACTGTGATGGGAGGACAGCAGGGAGGTGTTCTGGAAGGTGAAATCCTCTCCTCACCCCATGTTCATATACATGCCCATCCTTTAATTTTCCCCTCCCTATCGAAAGGGAGAACAGGGCTGCGATCGGCTCACTATAGGCTAATATGCGATCTTCTGCTTTTTGTACTGTAATCCTGCACCTGTCAGGCTTTCCCATTAGAGGATTAGGAGAGCTATTTATACACGTTGATCACCCAAACAATACTATTTTTAGGGGCTGTATTATTACAGTTAAAACTAACATCAGCAGTGTTGTTTGGAAGATAGCTGTAGACTCAAAATCCATCATCAGGCTGGTGACCACAAGTGGGCAGTTTGCTTACAATAGGTATTCAAGCCATTATAATGAATAGAACGAATGCTATTTATTCGGATGTTTATAATAATAATGATAATCCTTGCATTTGATATATAGCACCTTAACGTTGGAGCAAACAAACGTAATAAGCTCCAAACATTTCTCCAGATATAATTTGCTTAATGATATAATAAAAGTCCTTTTATTTGATATAGCACCCTTTCACACCTTCGAGACATCTCAAAGCACTTTGCAGAATATACTGTAAATTGAACTGACTGTATATTTTGTGGGCAAAACGTGGCAGCAAATTGCGCACAGTAGTATCCCACAAACAGTCATGGATTGAAGTGACCAATTTTTTTTAAAAAGGAATGATTAACCCCGGAAAAGCGATCCACCAATCGACTAACAACCAGGTTCCTATATACTGCTAGGTAAACAGAGGCGTGTGGAGTAAAGAAACTTGCACAACATTTCGCCCTGTCGAGAATCGAACCCAGACCTCTCGCTTTCAAGCGGAGAGGTCTAACAACTGATTTTTGGGTCTAATTCAAAATATGTGTTAAAATTATTCCATGAGGACTCCTGTCAACCAGAAATGTCATGTCGACTTGCAGGAACTCTGATGCAATCTACTTCTAGGATAGAGTCCCTGTGCCTGGTTAGGAATTTCATTAAGAATGTAAATAAGTTCCACATGAAATTTATCAGTCATGTTTAAAGATACACACAAACACATCCACAATAATGATGCTGTTTGTTTAAAACCACTTAAGTTATTACTTTTCCTCCAAAGGTTAAAATTTCTGCACTCCGGGCCTCGTGTTATTTTGTTAACTTGCTTGGTAAAAGAACAGCAATATTTCCGGTATCTTCTTTTAATTGTATCGGTAATCTATTGCTACATGTCTCCCCTAAGAGCAGAAATTTCCATTTTGCTTTGGTCTAAGAATGTCAATAGTTCATAGCATTGCACTGGCATACTGTTGCAAAAAGCATATTTGTTTTCGTGGGATTTTTGAGTACAAATGAAACCAATGAAAGTATTTTAAGAATAATGGCTCTGTCACCACTTTATGGAAAGTAACAGCAAATTCCCACTCACATCCACATGGGTATGTAAAAGATGCATTGTGTGCCAGCATTTCTTTACAATTAGTGTTTCCAGCCTGACATCAATTATAAATATGTTTTTCCCAAAAATGTTTATAATGGAAACCAAAATGAACAATAACGGCAGTGATGCTATATCGGGTAGATCCTTTTATATGACTAACTGGATAACAATAACTTGTATTTATCTAATGTCTCTCACGCAGGGTAGAGTCCCAGAGCGCTTGACAGTGACAGAGCACAACACCGAGCTGGGGAGAGGTGACTGTAGGCATGGTCGAATATGAAGGTCTTCAGACATGACCTGAAGATGGGGAAGGAGGGGGCAAGGTGAACGGATAGAGGAAGAGAGTTCTAGAGTTTCAGGGTATAGTGGCTGAAAGCGTGTCCACCGATGGTGGAACGGAGGGCACGAGGGTCAAGCAGGAGGCCAGAGCCGGACGAGCAGAGGCAGCAGGGTAGTGTGTTAACTATCTTCTTGGGAACAATATCGAGTTTATAAGGATAGGTGCTGCCTGAGATGAACAAATGCTTCAACAAACATAATTTATGCATTGCTAGGGCTTGGCAGTGGGGGTAAGTAATGTCCTCAAGACAAACAAGCCAGGTTTGAATAGTAATGTTGTGGAAATTGGTGAATATTCTAGTTTTGCATGATTACTACTGCGTATCAGGGTACAGCTGTGCAAAATATCCCCTCGTTCCTACAATCGATTGTTTGTGATTTAATGTAATCAATTGACTGTTTGTGGGACACTGCTGTGCGCAAATGGCTGCTGCGTTTTGCCTGCAAAATATACAGTCAATTGACTTTACAGTATATTCTGAGAAGCGCTTTGAGACGTCTCAATGACGTGATAAGGCGCTGTATCAAATGCAAGGATTATTATTGTTATCAAACATTTCACATTCTAAATCTTTCCCTAGAAAACCATCCTGGTATTTGATCATTCAGAAAGCTGGAAAAAACTAGAACTAGGAAGCAGTCAAAGTTCATTTGTACGAATTCAGTATTTTAAATCATTAAGTAAGCGCTCCAGGGGCTATTTGACTGCAAGTTGTTGTTGTAAATAATGAAGCATGTAAAGAAATACAAATATTGGGTCTACTTCAGGTGGTCAGACAATTGAAAAAGTTCAACTCAGAATGCCAAACTGTATTTTGGTCAGACATATGTAGAAACCCATCACCATGCTTCAGAGTATCCAAACCAGACTGAAACTTCCTATACATGGAGATTTCCTGGGAATGGAATGCACGTACTCTCTAGATAAGGACTCCATGCCTTTCCAATTCCATAACGTATTAAACGCAGGCTGGTGAGAGCCAAGACTTGGGGATCAACGATTATGCGTTGGTCGTACTCCTGGAGTTTAACTGGATAAAACTGCATAGCGTGCAATGTGAGCACTGTCTGGAAAGCTTCCTTTTGCTTGTCCAAATAAGACCACCCAACTCGTTAGAGCTTTGGCTTGCAGGGTTAACGGGAGTCAAGTAGGAGAATTCCTGACTTCAAAGATTACACATTCCAATACATTTTGATACAAAGCATCTTCAATTGGCAGTAATTTCTTGACAGCTGAAATTTTGCATATTTACCAACTCAATGACCGGGAACTTTTGTATACAAAAATATTGAGCAACATGTGGAAAGAGTTTGAAAGGCCTTAAA